GCAAAATTGCCTGCCTTAACACAGAACAACAAAAACTGCACAAATGCACAGGATGCAGAAGAAGAGGTGACAAACTGCGGTCTGACACAGTGGTACAATATGTCTTCCACACAACTAGGCTATTCTGTGCTGGACAGATCAATCAATAAATCACCCACGTACCGGAAAGAGTGCAGATTTTTATGAAGCTTTCAGAAACGGAATGAATGTACATCAGCATACACAACATGCTTACTCCGGAGAGAAAGGGGCTTGAAATGCAGGCCGGTTTAAAAAGGAGAACTCTTAGGATGTCTTCATGTTTAGTACAGACTAGCAGATAGGCAGAAACTGCTATAGCCACCAACATGAAAAGGCACCACACAGACAAAAGCCGGCTTTGTTCTCCTTTTATGTGTGGAAGTCTGGCTTGTGAATGTTGTGACATCTGTATTCACAGCGCCCCATGGAAGCAGACCCCAGAAATGCTGAGCAGAGGCGGTGCCCCTTAACAATCTCCATTCTGCCCAGCCAGCTAGGCCGGAACCCTCTACCTATCTCCTCCCTCTTCCCTCTCCTCTGACAACACCGGCTCCTCACAAAAATCTCCCAGCTGGGATCTTTACAGAGCAGGGGGACCAAAACTTGAAAAAGGAAAAGACAGCAATCCAACGTGCCAAAGTAGAGGCACGCGCAGACCTACCGTTTAAAATAAGCAACTTGTGCTGGACTCTACTCTGCTTTGTGTTGCTCCACAGGCACGATCTGCCCGGTCAGTGCCACTAATTTCAGCCTGCTGGGGTTACAGCAGGTAGGGGCAAATCCACTTGTCATATGTTTGTGCTCGTGTGATCTGTTAAACACAATACATTCCAAAAGCGCTTGCAAAAACTTAAGTGTGAACAAACAAACACGGATGTGCTAGACTAACACAAAACCATCAAGTTGAAAAACCAGTCACTCCATTCCAAAACCAACTACTTCTACAGAGAGTGCACTCGAAGCTCAAGGAGACTCCTTGAGACCTGTGTGAACCAATTTCTGTTGACAGACCCTATACTGTTTGTTTCTACTGCAGTCCTAGTGAATCCCTCCTGTCAAGATACAATAGAGATCGTCGTCATTTGGCAGTGAACTGTAAAAATCTGTGGTCAGTGTGCAGAATACATGCTGTACCTGCAAAATAAATAGCTCTAACCAGATAGCTTGCACCACAAGTTTCCTATTAGTTCGAGAAACCGGATAATAGTGATTAATGAACCAAGCGTTAAATATCAGAAAGTGGAATCATTCAGACTATAAAAATAGTACATATAAAATGTGCAAGCACTAAAGTTTCACACTGCAGCACACCTCATTTATATATTTGGTTTACAGGATTTTGTTTTTGTTGTCATGTGAAAAAATCTGGCAAGTTCTTTTTTATTCAGATATAATAAGAACAGTCAATTTAAGCCTTTTTGATTACTAAACAAAGTATCAAAAAAATAAGGTCCTTAAAGAACTTTCAATGAAGCCTAATGATCTGTACTGTAACTCTGAATTGGATCAGCAATTAATGGCGCTAGATTAACCTAGTACAGTAGGTTTCAGCACTGGTTCTGCAGTAACCCTGTGGATACTGGTTTTAATTTCAACTAAACATTGAGGGCAAGTGAAGCCTTAACTGACTTATTGACTTGATTAGGCCTTGATTGTTTTTTTAGTTCCTGTTCTTACCAGGCAAGACACAGTAAGGGATTAGGGGAGAGAGATCAAATTGGGGTGATATAAGTACAGGACCACAGGGATCAAATTCTTTCCACAGGGAAACAATTGACACTGTAGATTCTGGTTGATGCTGTAGAAAATGCACAAACAGCAAAGCATTTTTCTGTACTGAAAACAGGAAATATGTAAAAATTAGGTCCAAATAAGGAAAAAGTTCAGCGAGTTACATTACGCACAGAAATTAGTACCTCAGTGGGGAAAAAAAACCCAAATCCTGTACAAAGACACTTCTGCACCAGGGTCACACTGGTCTAGAATCTAGACAATGTTATATCTTTCAATGCCAAATAAGTCAGTAGCTTTCAGATTTTAAATTTAGCATCACCTACTGTATTACCGCCTTTTATAAATGGGAGTTTTACATGTCTTGGCTATGAACCCCTGAACCGCACACAGGGGAGAGTGAGAAAGTGCAGGCAGCCTCCTCCTTGGACCCAGTCGTCTGTACGCCCCCCTGCTGAAGGCTGGGGACTGATTGGTGGAGAGATGTGTCCCTCACCGACTGTACTACGGGGGGAGTGGCCTGACTCAAAGGGTGGTGGGAGAGTAGAACAAGGTGCCCAGCCAAGTTATGGATGCCAAAACCCTGGTTTCTTTCACAAAATAGTTAACTGATCTAAGGTTCTAACCTAGCTATCGGACTAGATACAGTTTGTAACTGCTCTCACAGTATGCTTCTCAAAAAAGACATCTGTGGGAAACACAGTTTCCTCGCTTGATAAATAAGTTACTTCACTAATTTTGAAAGAATGTATTTTGCTTTACAGGTGGAAAGTCAAAACATGTCCGTTATGCGTTAATGTGTACATTGAAAACTTTCATATTTTAAGTAAACATCAGCTGGAAGCATGAAAATATGTCCTGTTGCTAAACCCCAGAAGACAAGAGAGGCAAAAAAAATAAAATAAAAAAAGGGCTGCAAATGTTTTTTAAATCTTATTTATAGAACAAAATATTTTTTAGGTCAACTTACAGCTCAACAAGATCAACGTATATAAATAATCTTAAAATTATGCAATTAGAGTCTCAGGTTTAGAAAGAGCTTTACACAGTTCTTGTTTTTCCCTCTTTTAAGACTTTGTGCTTGAACCACCCCATCACAGATATTCAGGTTTCATAGTTGCAGCAGCTACCAAATCACTCTGCTCCCAGGCATAAGAAGGATCGCTTCCTGTCCAGAATATATTTTAAAAAATGTATCTGTGCAGGGTTTAACTTTACACAGAGATGAGGATTAATCTTATTCAAACTTTAGCTTCTTATGTAAAAACCCAGCAATGAGCACTGGCTTCACAGAACAAAAAGACATCTGCGTTATCACAATTTACAAATAAGGAATTAAATAATTATTTAATATTATTAATTAAATAATTCAGGGGTTTTGCAGATGATAAAAATTAATAGTAAGGACAGTTTTTGATTTTAGCATCCACAGTTTCGGTTTTTGGGTAGTCTTAGCTTAAAACCCCTAGTTTTCATTTTTTCATCTTTTTAAATCCATACATTAATTGAGCAGCAGTGTTTATTGGGAGCCTATATTTAAAACCAATTTTACAGGAAGGCTTGTCAGTCGACACTACTCCTGCAAGATTTTGTTTAAATATTTTATGGGTAATGGGGGCTGTGTGTGTGGGTTTGTGGTGGTTGAAGTGTTGCACAGCACTTACATTAAACCAAGTGTGCCTTAGGCTGGAAAATCCTGAGAAACCCATTTAGAGCACAGCTGGGCCATTCAATTACAAATAGTGTTTCAGTCATGTAGATTCAACAGAGCTATAATTTAAACTGCTGTGAGAAGCAAGTGGAAGAAAACTGGACAGAAAGTGCAAATGACTGACCAATGAGATTTAAGGGGATTTAGATCCATAACACTGGAGTGAGACAGGAGATGCGACAAGACAAAAACGGGCTCCTAATTATTTCAACATGCATATTTCAACAGGTCATAGTGCAAAGAGGTTTTGACGGATGACATTTAAAAAAATAATAATTCTGCAACTTCAGAAGAAATAGCTGCAGTCCTGCCCACTGCATTGTGAATCAGTCCCTGCAGATATGCACTGGCAACAATCTGACTAAGCATCAACTTACTGTATGTACCCAGTAAACAAGAAAAAACAGAACAAGACAGCATCAATACAGCCTGCTGAGCTGGCATTAGCCAACAAATCAATGAAGAGGATTTTTCTACAATAATATTAAAAAACAAAGGAAACTGGGAATTGACTCCAAGTGAAAGGTGACATTATAAACCAATCCAAAACATGCACATTCCTTTAAATTCTCTCTAGAAACTGCTGGATAAACTTTGAATAATAAGGTTTCTTCTTCAAACCAAACTAAATTCACTCTTGAAAAACTTAGAAAACAAAGCATAATAATACAATTGTTTTAAACATTACTTTCCACTTGTGATTTTCTGTTTCTTCACTGATAGTTTGCGCAAATCCAATTTAAGCCACAAATCTGTTTAAATTTTACACTTTTTTTTTTACAAAATAAGAAGGAGCCCTGATGTATCAGAAAAGAGTTCCTGCAAGAAAGATGTGTGTAAATGTGCATTATAAAAACACAGAGGCCCCTGCAGATAGTTGCACAAAGCTGTCAGATACAGATCTGTTTCTGGGTGGTACGAATTAACAGATGTACTATCAGCAAGTCAAGGCCTCTACTTATCTCCACAAGCTTCTGGTTGATATACAGTATACAGCATTTCACGCTAAACATATAACAGTATTAGTCACTAATTTATAAACGTTTTAAGCAAAGATGTTCCAGTGAATAAACTAATTTAACAAACTGGCAGCCAATAAGACACACATGTATACTAATTCACTACTGCCCATTTTACTTTAAAGTACTTTTGAGAAAAGCAGTTCTCCATTACAGTCTGTTATGACACAGTAAAAAGAGCAAAAGAGACAGGTGTTGTATTCCCTGGGTGTCCCATGCCAGGTTATGGTGTTGTGTGGGGTGGTGTGTACTCACATCCAGCAGTGTGTGGAGGTGCTGGTCCTGGAACACGCTGTGCAGGAAGTCCAGGTCCTTCTCGCTGCAGTCGGTCAGTGCGTGGATCTCCTCCAGGCTGTCCAGCACCTGAGACACCGCCCCTGCGCCCAGACACAAACAGACAACACCACCAGCTCAGACTCCAGCCCACACTTGGACCTTTGATCCAGGGATGTGCTCCTCACTGAGGCATCACCTTCAACGCAACAGCGATAATCCAAATCATGCATGACTCTCACGCACTACGTGGAAAAAACAAATCTGGGAATAACAACTATTTACAAAAGCACTATCTTTGAAATAAGGCAAACTTTCCCCACAAAAAAGGCATTTTATTTAATAACCAGAAAACAAACAGCACAGTACAGCTGATTCAATGTGCTTAAAACCTACGCAATTCTAAACCCTGCTGGTCTTGTTTCTTAAATACATAGACACTTCTAATTTAGGAATAATCACTTTTTTAAATGTAGAGGACTTCAGTACAAGTGAGGAAAGCAACGAAACCGACTGAGCAGGGAGATACTATCTTCATGCACTGGGATGCTGTTAGAATCAATATTACACAAGGCTGGACTTTCATACACATTCTATATTTACCCAGCTCTTGCTAAATGACCTAGATAATGCTGTGGCTACAGATGAACTGTGGCCTCTGTTGAAATATGTACCCTAGTTCATTCTTAAAAGGGATGCTAGAAAACAACCAATTTATATTCTTGTCCCAGAAATGGGAACTGCAATTAAATAATATCCCCATAGCAGAATCATCTTGCCGCTTGCATTTAAAGCCAGGATAAAAAAAAAACATTTTAGGTACTAAACTGAGGTAATTTTAAAAGTTTCCTTCTTGCTTGGCAATGTCATGTTTTTGTCCTCATTCGGAAGCTAACTTCTTGCAAAACAGAGGAATGCATGAAATAATCACCTCCTGGATCTTGCCAACACAGTGGGCTCGAGTCTAATGCAGGTTGGATCCTAAAATTAAACACACTCATCCCACATGCCACAACTGCCATGTCGGAGTTGAAGGACAACATGCAAAATGCCATTAGTTACTATGATGAGGGAGGAGGGATATGTAAATGACATTGGTCTGATTTCTGGTATGGGTTCTAAACATTTTAATACTGCCTTGTTGCAAACTAAAATGACACATTATTCCACAGACGAGTCTGTAACTGGCTAATGATGACCAGAAATGAACTTGGAAAAAAACTTGTGAGTATAGTAAAATTAAAAATATTTTTCTTAGATAGTTTTGGCTTCAGTCAGTAAAAACACTGTGAGATTTAACTACCCTGAGGGTGCTCATGTACTTGCCATGTCTAATTTAAGACTTTCAAAGAAAGACAGACAAACCCAAGATGTGGTCTTGCAGTAACAGATGACTAAGTTTGTACAAGATCAGAGCACCCCATTTCAGGAGTGTTTTGCATTTCCTGTGCAAGTCTGTGCAGACAGTCTATTGCAAAAGTTCCCTTTAAAAAGTTTCCTTTTTCCTGTGTTGTCAGAAAAGTTTCTGATAAAACATGCTGAGCTGTCATTCGCATACGTTTTCTCCTGGTAACCTTTTGGCTTTAGAGGCTGCACAAACACATTCAATTGACCTCAGATGCGTTGATCTTTTCAGCTTCAAGAGGCAGATGACAGAATATTTTGCATTTTTAAAATGCCGTGTTTCTTAAAATAGCCATGGTCTGCTTTATAAACAAGATAGGTCTAATGATTTCTTCCATTTCAAATCCATTTGGAAATGAGAATTCCAGGCAACAAGGGTCACAAGTCCAGACGTTTTATTAAGGGTCTCTGAATATTCAGTCTTCCTAGAAACAGATCTGCCCTCTTCCTCAGGGCACCCTGACCACCTGACCGACTGAAGCTTCTGGGTCAAGGGCTAATAAAAGAAAAACATTTTACTGAAACTGTTAAAGGAAACTATTGCAAAGGCCTGGTCTTGTGCACAGCCCTTAAAAGAGCTTACCAATGGTGGAACATCTGACAGAGAACACAAAAGGAAACTACATGGAAATGCATTTGTAGAGAACAGGAGGCTCTTCTATACACAAAGAGTTGTAGGAGTATGGAACAAACTTCCCAGCCAAGTTGTTGAAGCATTGGAGTCTTTTTTTTTTAAAAAAAAGGCTGGATAAGATCCTTGAAACAATCAGATCCACTAGTACACAATCAATTACTGTTTTGTTAGTCACCTTTCTTACGTTCTACCATGAGGTGGAGCAAGAAGGCAGTATTAAAGGTTTGACCAGTGCACACGTGGGAAGAGAAGGACATGTCTGATAAATGACAATGCACACAGTTAAATCCAAACTCAGAAGCAACAAGGGATACCTACTTTCTGCAGCTAGCAGTCCTAGAAGGAGGGCAGCATTAGGATAAACAACAAATATTAACAAGAGTTCGCAGAGTTATCAGAGGCTGTTAGACATTGTACATTGTACAGTCCACAAAGGAAAAGGTTTTATTGCAAAACACAAACTTAGCAGAACACCTGGATTTAAACAGGAGGAACAAAATCTTACTTAAGTAGTGGAAACATCTTAACAATTACACCCACAATCCAATTTACAAAAATTAAAATGATGTCTGTTTAAGAAAACAATATTGCAAAGAGATTAAACTCCACAGGACTGAAAAGGCTCCATACATTACAATACTAAAAGTGTAGTTCTTCTATTACGAAGACACCACAATTGTGATTAAGGCTATGAAACTGAACATATCAGTACTACATATTACACAAAGCTAACTAAAGTAAATCAGGGATTACAGTATTTATGAAATGCTTATTTTAACCTTTCCAAAGAAAAACTGTAGAAACATCCCAGTTAATTTATTGGAAAAGTTATTTTACTAGATCTTCTGATCTTGATTGTTTGACCAATTATGAACTTTTATATTGGTACCATTCTATTTCTAAATGTTTAAATGGTGATACCTTATTTTTGTTCTTGTACACACATGAAAGATATAATTGGTGATATTTGGGTTTACCAAGTTCACAGATCATACCACATTTACTCAGAAGTCAGAGATAGAGATACTTCAGATCAGACTATGTGTAATTATAAATAAAGGACTTGATTTTCAAGATAATTTTAATTCATTGGTCTACTCAGCCATTCATTGTAACCAGACGGTTAAACTTTCCAAGGACAAGAATGAAAGCCATGTGGGCAATAATGGAGTTGTCACATTTTTAGATGTTTTATTAATCCAGAGACACTGGAGAGAGAATTTGACAACAGTAAAAAAAAAAAAGAGAATGAAAATAAAATACTGATTACTAACCGATTACTTTTCACACAACACAAGGAGCCACTGACTTTTGAAATGTAAAAAACCACAATACAGAACAGAAGCACTTCTCTGTTCCTGAAACTGAAACAGCCTACCTATTACTGGCTGTCAACAATATGTCTGAAGTGTTAAAAACATGACCTGCTGTCACAAAAATCTTTAAATACTATTTCACAGCTTGGTCAAGGATACACTCGTTGGCAGTAGATCAGCTTGTGTGTTTGTGACTGAAATAGAACTGTGGCCAGAAATGAGAGCAGTGTCACTTTTTTTTTTGATGACAGGCGTGAAATACATCCAAATACCTTCCTAAGTCTTGACCAGAAGCTTGGCTTAGACTGCTTCACATAAAAATGCACAACCTAATACTGACAAGCTAGTGAAACTGCCTTGATTCTTCAGCTTCACTGCTGGCTCAGCTCCGTTTTAGAAAAGGAAAAAAGGAAATCAAGGTCCACTGGATGTAAAAAACACCATGAACTCTTCACCCACCTGCAACAATCTATAATCGCACAAATTGATGACTAATGCTGCGAATGGGCAGCAAATCTCAGAATTTTACAAATGAAGGAAAACACATTGCTTCTGAAACGTGAAAAAAAGCAAGAGTCTGGAGGAGAAAAAAATTCTCCACAAAAAAAAACAATTTGAATCTCAACATTTGCACCAGGCATCATAAAAATGTGTGAATGCCTTTCAAATTTTGCAGAACTGCAGAATTTCACCTGAAATAACACCTAAAAACTAAGAGAACACTAAAACTTGGTAAAAAATTAAAACTAATGCAACTATCTGAACACTAGCTTAGCATATCTGAGCTCTGAAAGAGAACATAAGGTCATATTTGCAGCCAGGGAAAAGCTGAATCTGCCATTTTGATTAAATAAAACAAGCAAAGGCACAGAGCTTTATATTACACACCTGTGAGGAAGGGTGAAGTCTAGCCAGTCTTTTACAGGAGTGGGAGGACATACGGGTGAGACATACCTGAGGAAGTGGGGTCTTCGGAGAAGTCCGGCAGCTCCTCGGGTGGGTCTCCATAGAAAGAGTTAAACTTGTGGCTGGAAACAGCCGCTAGCACCGCGCCCTGGGGGAAAATACATGTGTTAAGCTCCTGAGCAAAATCCCTTTCTCCTTTATTGTTGATGGATTGAAGCATCTGAAAAATGTCTTGTTTCAAAATAATCTCTCAAGGTCAGCAGACTCGTTGCAATCAACCTGCTTTTCAGGGACAAGCTGAACCATGAAATCAAAAGCAGTTTCATAGAACTTGATCAAAGGCATGGGTTCCAGTCTGAAACTGCATGTTCTAGCGGCCAAAATAAAGGAAACATCACTCTAAAAAAGTTCTGTCTAAAAATCTAATAGGCAAAAGTTCAGTGAATGATTAACTTTGTAACTGAAATACAAAATATAATTTGAAATTTCTTTGACCTTGTACAACATACTTCACTGACACGGTCAAAAGAAAAGCTTTTACAAAGGAAAAGAGAGTATAGAACCACACAACATGATATGTAAATAAAAGACAGGTTAGTTATTCTGGGCAGGAAGGAAAAAATATTCTTTCTTAAAACCTCATTGCAGGGTAAGGGACGTCATCTCTCAGAAAACTGAGAGCCCAGAAAGGTCAATTTCGATGAACGAGCCCTTCAGTAAAAAAGAGGAACATGGGTTTAAACGCACAGCTGGAGCCGGCGCACAGTACGGAAACATAAGAACCAGAAAAAAACCACAAGGGGTTCCAAGAATGAGTCAAACTGCGTCCCTGCTGCCGACTGGACTACGCAAGTGCACCCAAAAGGAATCAACACGGAAACCCAGCTGCAAGACAAACTGATTACAAAGGGAAAATCACTACAAGGCTTCCCAGTCCTGGCCTTGATGGCCCACAATCCTGAAGATTGCTATTCCAGCCCAGCTCTGTGTTTTAATTGAACCCATAATTGACTTGATGATAACACGCTATCATAGTATCATCACGATCAGGATGATAATAGTTTGACTGTTTCCATCTCTTAAACGTGTTGAAGGCCTAAAGCTCAGCTGTTGAATAAAGGCTTGATCAAGAGAATTTACATCAATTTGACCACTGCTGACCACTCCTTGCTCACTATTGAATATTCCATGTAAATACAATCCCCAACTTTTGAGTACAAAAAAAACTTCCAATCAACAAATTAGTTAATTCAATTAAGGCGTCAATTAAGTCAAGAGGCTCAACAGGAACAAAACCCACCAGGTGTGTGGGCCTTCAGGTGATTAGCCATCGGTGTAACCCAAGAACCATCTTTTCAGAGGAGAACCGGGTCACAAGATTACACTTTAAACTGTATAAAATGGCAGTCAGGCACAACCTTTGCCTACAGGAACCTAGCCACAGTGAGAACATGAATAGGACAAACAATACCTAGCACTTTTGTCCATAATGTACTGATCATTGGGCTGAACAGAGCTGAGAGAGGTACCTGAGAGTCCAGACTTTACAGAAGGAGCCCCATAGACACTGGTCCCCTGCACCCCTGAAAGAATGGGGACAAATACCTACCCCCTGAAGAAACACTGGCATCAGGCTCTGCATGCAAAAGGCCAAGCCACCAGCTTGGTTTTGGTCCTATACTGTACACATCTTAACAGTACGTCCACATCCTTTTATTTATTTCAGCAAGACTTTTCTCATACATCACATGTGGCTTTTGTATATACACCTTATTACAACAACGCTGGTCTGAAATTGCATTTCTGTACATAACCTCTGTTGGTGTCTATAAAAAGCCACATACACAGGGTAGTGCAAATTCTCATTAAGCTGAAGCTAGTGGAGTAAAACATGACCAATGACACAGTGAAGATTTGAGAGATTAAACGCTATTACTTTAGATGAACTTAAGGATCAGGCACCTAACAAGCAGCTTCACTTGGACGGCGCTGATGAATCAATTTGTTGTGGGGCCTGGACATTCCTGATAAGGATGGGAATTAACAGACCTCAAGTGTGGCAGGAACATAGGCAGTTTTGGAAAATGAGCTGCTGCCATCACGACAAGTTACGTGACTTGCTTCAGAAAAACTGCCACTGGACCCAAGAGAGGAAAATGTACAGCCATCAGCTGTGTCCAAGCCTCGGTGTTTTGTCTTGAAACTCAAAATCAGTAATGACTTTTTCCCCGTTTTGCACCAACAGAGATATCATGGCACCTCCCAGAGCTATACTGAAGTTCGTGGTCACACAGCAGGTATCGGTCTTAAACATCGGAAGGCCTGGGGCAGTAATTCACCACAGGGGCCCGTTTTTCGCCTGCAGTTGGTTCTCCATCTATAATCTCAGAGTCATGCAGATGCACATAACTTGGGGAACACCCCAATTCAGATATAATCGTGCTGTAACAAGATGGAGAGCTTGATAAGCAAGCCACAATCATCCAATGCAAATGGAGATTTCTTAACTGCTCATAGTAGCAGATGTTTGCAGCCATTTTTCTTCAGTACACTCACTGTGGGCAGTGAGGAAGCATCCAGCGCAAACAGAACAAACAGTGAATTTGCAAGTGACAAAAGATTTCCAGGTCAGTTATTCAGAGATCAGAAATGTTTTTGGATGTTTATCGATAGTAATTTTTTCCCCCACTGTTTACAGTATTTCAAAAATTGCTCTGTACCTTTTGATCACGTCCGTCAACACAATTGCTTCTTCACACCTGAAGAAACGGCTGAAACACTGGGTTTCTCTATTCTACATTTCAGAGAGGAAATATCCTTCTTCAAAAGCTTGTTTATTTTCACCAACAGAAACTAAAGAGGATCACGTGTTCTGAATTATCCTGCTGTCTTTATTAGCCACATCTAGATCGAGGTATAAAAAAAGGCGTTGGTGCATTTTTTGGGTCTATAGCACACTCCCAATACTATACTAAGTTACAAAGCTAATGAGCCAGAATCCCAAATAAGATTGTGAGAACCTTGATTGCCTTTTCTTTTGTTTTTATACCAATACTCTTTTTGATCAACAATGCTACACTCCAAATAAGTAAGACACCCCAAGTAAAAACAGGCTGAGAAAAGCTATTCCAAGCGGCCATATATTATATAAGGGGCATTGGTTCAAAGATTCAGGTCAAGGAAAGCACACCTCCTCTTCATTCTTAACTTTGAATGAACTGTAAATTTAAGATGTTGTTTCCACAACTGTATTTCAACACTGCTACTCAACTAGTGGGCATTTTATAATGGATTGCTGATTTAACCAGCAATGGCTTATTAGAAAATCCTCAACCAAAAAAATAATGAAATGAAAAGTGTTTACTATAACAAATACACCATAACAAAACAAAACACAGAACAATAGAAAAAGAATTACAATTACACATTTTTTCATTTAGAATATTTGGCTTTGCTCTCCTGGTTTATGAGCAAACTGGGTGTTTTTCATATCTCTGCTCTCACAGCTGTGATCCCCATGACCTCACACTGGGGAGAAGGAGGAAGTGTACGCAGGCTCCTCTAATCCACCCGCCTTAGAGCCAATCGTCTTTTAACACATCACAGGCTGTACCGCCCCCTTCCACAAGACCATTTCTGATTGGAAGAGAAGTGCATCCCTTACTGACAGCACTACATAGCTGTAAGCACCTGGCAGACTGCAGGGGTCACTACAGGTCCCTGAGAGCCCTGGATGGCTATTCCCATCCTTCCCTGAGTGGCACGCCATGCGTTAATTGTGCATGATCGGCTGGGGAATCCCAAGCTAATCAGCAAGTGAAGTGAGTCAGACTTGAACTGGAACTGGGGCTTGGCAGTCCTGCTTGAGCCAGTCAGACCTATTCCTACTTTTTAAATAAAAAAAATAAACAGTTGGGCACCATGCAGAAACAGCTCGAAGTTCAGTACCTTTAATTTCCTTCTGGCATTGAATTTCCGCAACTGCTCCACTGTCTCCGGGAGGTGTATTTTGTATGCGTAACGGTCTCTCTCCTGGGGGAAGAGGAACGAGTCACGTTTCACTGGTTGTCTTAAGAGGAAGACGACATGGAAAGCAGATAGACATGTGGGCAGAAAAAAACAAGCTTATGCGCTTGGTACAGGACATCACTGGGGCTTTTTATGTTGTGCACTGTGACAGCTCTGGCATTTACTCTCCTCTCTGAACCGACAGCGTTAATTAAAGATTTACAAGTTTTACTATGTGGTTATCAAACTTGTTTTCTGTTGTTTTACGGTGCTGTGGGCCTTTTCACTTATGCCAGAACTGATGTTCTGCTACAACTGCTCCTGTCAATCTGTATGTCGAGTGTCCGAAAAGCTCATCACTCAAACTCCAAGAGGATTCATTGCTGAAGGCCAATTAGGTCCGTTACGGAAGAATGGTTCCAAACCACGCTGCCCTCCTAGCCTGTCTGGAAAAGTTTTGCAGCAGCAATGCACTGGTTGGGTTTCGAACCTAGGCCTCCAGTGGGCCAGGTGTGAATTCTACCACCGAATGCCTCAGCCCTCTACTGGTTTAGCAGAGATTAACAGTTACTATCTCCCACTGTTGTTACTGCACTTACACCTCATGAAATACATGTATCTGAAATGGGTATTTTCAAGCTGCAACCAATATAATACAAAGCCACTGAAGAATCTGTTTTGTGCACACGATCTGGTCTCTCTAGTATAGCTGGAGACAGTGGAGCGGAGATCCTCTAACAGGATATGACTACTCATTTGAAATCGTGCTTAAAAATTGCTTTGCTATAATTATCTTAAATGAGATGGAGAAGATCTTAATAGCATAACATGCGAAAAGAAAGAGGGTCCGTTTCTTCTAAGCACTGAATAGATTAACACCTTTATTTAAGACACTGAAGTAGAAACAGCAATCTGAATTCCAGAACTTTAATGTGAAATCTGTCGGTGGCATGCTTTTTTTAAATTCACATTTGACACGTAAGTGAAATACTGTGCCTGTTAAATGCATTCCTTTTTGCACGCAGAAGATAAATGAGTGGCATTATGTGACGGCTCGGAGCCCAGAAACACTTGCGGTGCTGCAGGTGTCGAGAACAGGCCTGCAAAGAGAACTGCTCTCAGGCTTAAGCATGTTTGGGGACCCGTCTTGTTGATCTGCAGAGCCCCACCTTGAGCCAGGGGTGGTTGAGGGCCTCATACACCGTTATCCTCTCCGCGGGGTCCAACATCAGCATGCGGCGGACCAGGTCCTTGGCACTTTCGGAGATGTGGCTCCACTGCCTGGGGTTCATCTGCGAAACAACGAAACAAATCGAGAGTGAGCATCCGGTCAGACACATGGAGACAGGATGGGACAGCAGTGCACCTGTCCTGCTAGGCACAGTTACTACGAAGTGATGCATTCGAAAATTTGGGATGATCCCTGTGAAAGAATTATGAACAACTAACACATTAATAACTCATCTGCAATGCATTCTTTTTTCTCCATGGCTTAGATTCCTAAATGAACGTCTGTCAGCATGTTTGTGTACACGCCTTTCGGCCACCTGTTTTTCGTTCGCTCCTGTATTAAACCCTTTCCAGCCTCATCGGGACTCGAAAGTCCAGCCGGTAGAAAACGTCTACAGACTCTGAATCTGGGCTTCTGGCCTGGAAGAGTTGCAAAATCAAGCCAAGAGACATCGGAGTTCAGAGTCGAGGTGGACACGGGCCAGAGTCTGAATTGTGTAAAAATGTTACAGACGAGAGGGAGCCTTTCAGCCCATCTGTGACACCAAAAATTTTTTTGTATATGAACCATGTTTGAGGTGTGCATTCTACAGTTTCCCTTTGCATGGATGGAAAAAAAAGAGAACTTCTATTTTGAGTTTTATCACTTATTATCATTGACCTTGAGTCACTGTAGATGAATCATCATTCTTTGGAACTACTGTATAGCCTTCATGATTCTTGAAAGATATAGAAAACTCATAATTGAAAGCATCCCATACTGCAACATTGACAAATAACAGTTTAATTATGGGCGTGCCTAACAACATCAGAAAAGACTACTGCCTGTAAATATTTCAATTCCAACAAATATAAACCCTTACTTTTTTAGGCAAAAACAGAAATTCAGGCTATAGAGAGTTTTAAAGCTGCTACTAGGCTGCACCAGAAATAGGGTTTCTGAATAAGACTCCTCTAAAACCTTTTCTTTTTCTTTCAGTCAGGGTGCAAGCCTCAGCACTTCAATACCATTTAAATCCCCTGAACCAACTTCAGCTCTTTAAGGAACGGATATTACTGGATACATTTGCAAGTGTATTTTTGCCAGTTTCTGAATGAAACGTTTTCAACAGTATTCAGCCACTATTTAGTAGGACAGTGTGGACATGATGAACAATAATACCAATGACATTGTAAATAACTGACTTCTAATTTCACTGTAGAATAAACACCAAAAATGGAGATCACTAAGAACACGTTAAAAACAACAACAGCATTATTCCAAAAACACGACATAACCACTACTAGGAAAATGACAGGTGCACCCATTCCCCCCACAAATTTCTTTCACCAACTTAAAAATGATCTTGGAGAGAGTCTGATCAACTGAACCAAGAATCATGTCACCCAGTGTCTTTCAGCAGAGCCCTTAGAGTCGGGCCTAATTTCCCTTCAGCTGGAAGCAGATAGAACCATACAGGATGGCTCAGCAATTCCGGGGCAAAAATAAAGACGTTTTCTCCGTCTCCAAGAGGCCGCAGGTCATCATTCCAGTTAAGCTCCTAATAATCTATATTTACTGTTTATTTGCCGAACTGTACCCATTTAACCTTTAGGACATAAATGCTACTGAGAGGGTGACAAAGGTCTGGCCGGCCTGGGTCTTCAGAACTACAGCTTTTCAGACAGGGCCACTATGACTGTGAAAGAAGGCCTCTATTGCACTTACATGACATTTTTACTATTCATTGTTAAACTGAAAGGATTAAGAGAAAGCTGAAGAGCAAAAGTAAGGAATTGGGAAGAATATATTCATGAAAGGAACTGCAAAGTGAGGTGAGAGTGAAGGTTTTATTTCGGCTGCCTATCAATATTCACGGAATCAGCCGATCTACAATTCACGAGACATTTTCCCTCACCTTTTCTTCAGTCTCAAACAACAAGGACAACAGGAAGAGAAAAATTCCCTATGCTGGTAAATGAAATAAACGTCCTTTATTAGTGAAGAGTGATTTGTTTTATAAAACAAAGCATATTCAATTGTATAATGAGTTTCAAAGTTACTATATTGTGACTTTACAGCTGCCAGACACCCGATACCTGCTAGACTTGTTTGCACGGACAGTGTTCAGGTTCGACATAATGAACTAGGCAATTATTCCTAAATCTTAACACGTCTAACTGCTTTCAATCGTTTGTTTTCAAAGCTAGTTAAACACACAATACAGAAATGAAAGTTGTGTGTCTAGGCTTGTTTACCTGAAACTGGGAAGTTCACGATTAGTGTTAACAGAAGTCTGAGAAAAAACAGGACAGAATACGAAAATAGCTTTATTAACTGGTACTTTAAAACAATTCTTACAGCATGGATTAAACATGAGGCCTCTAATTGTGCTGCTGTGAGAGACTAAAAGTGCTATATCATTGCATGAATTGTTTTCAGCTTTGATAAAAAAAACAATAAGGCAAGAAGTTTTGTTAGACTTTTCCTCAGGAAGAAAATAAAGTAAGACTTCATACAAAAGGGGCTAAATAATACCATCATGAGTCTTTTATCAACAGTACACAACATTTGCAAGCAAAATAAGCATCATCCTTCCTTTATGGTACCCTTTTCACCGCTGGAACTTCTGCAAGAGAGGCATGCTTACGTGAAATTTTTATTTTGCTCTTATTTTTTGTGCATGCAGTTCTACCATGTGTGTAGGGTTTATAAAGGGGCTATAATCTTATGCAACTCTGATCATTCAAAGAAAAAAAGATTACTCCTGTCAATGACAAATGACTGTATGCTCACATGGAACACTCCAATCGCATTAGGCGAAGCAATAGCTTGGGCGATTTGTTTTTGCAAGTCACAGGACGAGAGTGCAGTTCAGGCAGTACATACGGCTGGGACGACGATCGTTCATTAGTACTGAGATGTGCCAGATTAAAGTGTGAGATTACAACACTTCCCTAAACAAAAAGACGGGCACGGCGCGCACACACACACAAACACACAAAAATTTTAATCTCGCTGAAGAGAAGGGGCCAAGACGTGAGCTGTGCAAGCAGACTGCTACCTTGTATTTCCCCTTGATGATGGCTTCAAACAGCCTCTCCTTGGTCCCATAAAACGGCAGGCAGCCGCTGAGGAGAATGAACAGGATAACGCCACAGCCCCAGACGTCCACGGGCTTCCCGTAGGGCTCCCGTTTCACCACCTCGGGGGCCATGAAATGGGGGGTCCCCACTCGGCCTGGAAAACAACCACCGCAGCACATGAGCAGTAAGGAAAAAATAAAACGAACGAAGCGGTGCCAAATAATGCAAGGCACAATATCCCATAATGCAATATTCAGCGATGGCAACTGCGCTCAGAAACAGCAGGTGTCTTGCTTGCAATCTCATTTGCTCAATATATATGTACACATTGCTGCTGGACACATGCCTGCTGTCTTACAATCCGTAAAATGAGACGAGACAACTGTTTGGATTAAACTCGGTTTTGCATGCAACTCGTCAGACGTCGATTTCAAGAGCACTGCCAGGTTTGGAAAGAATCCAATGTCCTGCCCTCTTTGAAAAAGGTCACATCCTCACTCCACTACAAAATAAATCTTGTCGAGGCACACCAAACCATCCGCTGGGTGCAACACAGGAGGAAGTACAGGTGAGGACAGAAATGTTAAAAAATACTCCAGTTCTGAGGTGAAAATATTGGACTAAGAAGGGACAGCTAAGAAAAATCGCACTGCAGCTTTAAGTGGAGTTCGTAGACCTGTAGCTGTCTCTTTCCTCTGGACGAGAATTCCCAAATGATGCCCATTTAACACATCCATGTTAAACTGACTTAATCATTACAGATCCATTTATAAGAGTGAGGCCAACTCCATTGTGCTGGCTGAATACAGCTCTGCACTTGGGCTTCCTTATTTCAACTAGTTAAAAAAAATATTCCCTATCTCCCGATATAATATCTCCTGCTGTATAAGGGGGCAATTGATGCACAATGGCTGCCAGGATTCTCCCAGCTGGATTCTGCACTTCAGCAGTGGATAAAGTGAATCCTCTCCTATAGTAAAGCCCAAACAGCCTAGATAGCTTCCTCTTGTTTGTTACCTTTATGATCTTTAATTCACGTCACCCCTGCACTTATTCAATAAACAGACTATGTTGCAGATACAAGTGCATCCCATTAAAAGAAAAAAAAAAGCGAAGAACAATACTGGCCCCATCAATTTGAGCCAATTTCCCAGGAGCTTAACATTATTATTGTGGTTCCCGACTGTCCTCCGAGTTTGTGCAAAGTGCTTTCTGCTCTAAGTCTGAGCATGTTAGCTCTTCAGCTACCACGCAGTCTTCTGAGCCTGCTGTGGAAGCAAGGCCTTTATGCAGCAGAATGAAAATGTTCAGAAACAGAACAACGCCTTGTTGCCTTGCAAGGAAAATGACTTGGTGAGCTCAGCTCCTGTAGTCATTTTCTTCAGAATTGCTGGAAAGATGCAACCCTGATGAGCAGAACGCACTGGGATTCTTCCGTAAACCAGGACGACAAACTGAATCCACAACGGCTGCTCCGATGATGCAGGCTCCACAAGGCCGTTTTTGTTTCTGTCTACAACTGAAACCCTTGCTGTCGGTCACCATTCACAAAACCACCGACAGGACCTGGCAGACTTGGGAAGAACATTATCCACTGGCTGAGCATCGTGACACCAATTACCATTTGCTCTTCCTCACCGAGATACTGGCTACTTTTCTGTTCCCTGATCAGATAACCGTGACCACTGCGTTCTGTACTAAAAGCAACTTACCTGAAAACGAAATTTCACCGAAAGCAACTATTGACCTATGAGACTTTATGTAAACCAGAATTCTGCCCAGGATTGCTCAAGTTTGCAAGATCAATGAAATAATAAATTTGGACATTTGTTGACACCACTGCATATCACAGGATATTCATTCAGCAAAGCAGTTACAAAATTCAGGAGGACAGACTACGTTCCCCATTTAAATCTGGTCATGTGAATATTCCAGGGTTTTGACATTTTAGGCACTTTCCACACGCAGCATAACACTAAGATGAAACTCTTCCCCTTTCCATACAGGACTTCCATCAGCACGCAGCCAAAGTCACTATGACCAGATCCAGCATTCTTATTTAAAAAAAAAAACTTTTTACTACACTTCTCACTGACTGTACTTATAGTATTGTATTGTGTATTACTGTATCATTACGTTACAGAGTGCTGTGTTGATTGTGCCAGGCTGCTGTTGCACTGCAATTTCCCTCATAGGATTAATAATATATCCATCTTCTTCCCATTGGACTTTTTAAACTCTCCTCAGAAGCCAAGAAAGGTTACAAAAACAAGGGGAGGCCATTGAGATCATACAAGTATAGCAGCACATCTGGTAGTTACTATCTCATTCATCCAAGGATCTCAACCTAGCAGTTAATCAAAAGATCTCATATAGGTGTTTCTTGAACAACTGCCTCCTGTTCTGAGTTTTAAATGCACTTCCACTGGTGTTCCTGGGTTTGTTTTACATGGTTTATTCTGAGGAGGTGTGCTGGATTGAGTTTGTCCCTGCCTTTGAGGACTCCTAATATTTGAATCAGGTCTTCTTGTAGTCTTCTCTGTTCAAGTCTAAAAAGGCCTTGTTCCATCCACTGGTAGGCAGAGCATTTCCTTAACTCCTAAAAAAACGGCCTAGCCCTGTGCTCTACTCTGGATCAGTGTACATCCAATGTTCACTTTTGAAAAAGTTATCAGGTATCGAAACAAGCTCTTAAAAGGGACATCAAAGAGCTGTGATGGATAGGATGGTGGAGTTAAAGGTCGTTGCACTAGCAATCAAGGACGCCGGTTCTCCTGGGGCTGGTGCTAAACCTGCTATGGCGGTGGAAGAACAGGACGAAGTGCAGGGGGTGGCTGAAGACTTAGCGGAGGCTGAGGTCAAGGCCACATTAACTCTTTTGAACCGTTCTCTCCAGTCTCCACTGGGTCAAAAAGTGCATACGCGTGCATACGGAGGCGCAGGAAAAAGCCCAGGTACGCAAGGCAGAATTTAAATCGCACCTTGCAATTCATAAAAGGGAGATCGAGGCGGAGAAAGAGGTTAAGCTCCGACAGCTTGAACTAGAAGCAAGGAGGAATGCTCCTGCTGCACAGCCGACCCACTCCGAGGCCTCTAGCGTGGCTCCATTGCAAGATCAACTCTCTACCACCTTCGTTGTAAGTGAGCACATTGCTTTAGTTCCTCTATTTAGGGAAGTTGATTCTAATTTGGTGCACTCGAGCGCATTGCCACATCGCTTCGCTGGCCTAAGGAGGTCTGGTCACTGCTTTTGCAGTGCAGACTAGTGGGCAAAGCTCAGGAAGTTTGCTCGACACTTTCTTTAGAGGAAAGTTTGCACTATGGTACTGTGAAGGCTGCAATTCTACGTGCATATGAACTGGTTCCTGAAGCTTATAGGCAAAGATTTCGAAATCATCAAAGTGTCAGGCCAAACTTTTGTTGAATTTGCCAGAGAAAAGGGAATTCTCTTTGATAAATGGTGTGTAGCCAGTAAAGTGAGCGACTTTAACTCATTGCGCGAGTTAATGTTATTAGAAGAATTCAAGAACTGTTTGCCTGAACGTGTTGTTGTCTATTTGAATGAACAAAAAGTAACTACTTTGTCGCAAGCAGCTATTTTGGCAGATGAGCTGGTGCTCACGCACAAAAACATTTTTACGTCTGCATGCCCGGAAAAGTCTCTACTTAAAACTAGAATACCAGTTGGAGAACATCCGACTACAATTAAAGCATCACGTTAGTCAGAAACACACAAGTCTTTTTATTGTCATAGAAAAGGGCATATTATTGCTGATTGTATGACTCTTGAACGTGCCTCTACACAAGATTAATTTGGATTGTGCCCTAGTTACAGGATTTGTTAAGAGTTGGTGTACGACCTTCATTACCTGTTAAAGGCATTAGTCTTATTTTAGGAAATGACCTGGCAGGGGGTAGAGTATGGCCTATCGTTTGTTTTTCTTTTCTCACTTTGTCCAAACATTAGATGTTTGTTTTTACGGGTGGGGGTGTTACGTCCCAGTGTGTGGTCTTTGTGTTTTTGTTGTTATGTTCCACACTTCTGACTTTGATTGTTCTCCCTTCACCATTGGCCCACCATTACACTTTTGTTTCCATATGACATCATCTTCAATTAGCTTCTCGACCAATCACAACTCATCTTATTCACTAAATAACATGGAGGTTTTCAGAGGGAAGAGCCATTTCGTTTGACTTCGGACCCGCTCGGCTTTGGTTTTCGCTTCGCTTTTGGTTTTGCTTTGGCTCGCTTTTGGTTTTGTGTCGGCTTTGTTGGTTTGTTTTTTTGCTTTGTGTGTGTCTTTTCGAATAGCTTCGGCTTTGTTGTTTTGTTGGTTTCTGTTCGTCTCTTTGTACTTCTGTTTGTTTGTTTATCCTCGTTTCGCCATTACCTTGCCCCAACTTGTTATTGCATCAACCTCTGTGTGCTTTTGTACAGTTACTTGTCTACTCTTATTTGTATTCGTAGTTCACTTATGTATTTGTGTGAACTTTTGTGTATAGTTAGTTTAGGTTGTTGGGTACATTTTGCACACACGTAGTTGATTTTTGTATTAGTAACACTAGTTTAGTATGGGTGAGTGCCTTTTGTCTTGTATGGTTTTGGATAGTCAGTGGAGGTTAGCTAGGGTGTTTGAAGATGCTGAAGACTGTCTGTTTCGAGTTTTCTTTTGTAGTTAGGTTAGCTTCCCCTCACTTTCTTAGCCAGCTCCATTTTGTTTGTTGTTTTGTTTTCTTTGGCACCACTCTAGTTCCCTCTCCCTGTGTGTTATTGTGTCGTATTTCATACCAGTCAATTATTCACCTTAAAATTAGCACTTTTTGCACCAACCCTTGTTATCACGCTTCCCAAGTCCCTCACCAGAACCCACCTGCTTCCAAAAATGATTCTAAATGTTACACCCCTTTACCCCCAGACGCTTGGGGTCGTAACATCTGCCAATGCCAAGGAACAAAGTTATTTTCAGTTCAGGGTGGGATTATCAAGTCAGGATGATACGACGGTTTTACAAGTTACTCTTGGGCAACAGAGAAAGAAGTGTTTTGTTGTTTGCGGTTTTCAAAAAAAGTAAGTTTTTAAAAAGGCATGGACAGAAAAATAGCACATCTTTTATATATCTCTAAATCGGAAAAAACATGCATCTAAAACCTAGAGTTTGCTGATAAAACTGACCAAATGATGCACATCTTTTAGACTCTGGAAAAAAAAACAACAGTTTGTGGTTTTCCTGGCTTTTTAACAAACACCATCATGTTTTGCAATTGTTGCTGTGCATCTACACGATCAATCAACAGCTGGATAAGGGTCATCTAATGGAAATGATAGATAGTGGTCTATTCGCTTTCCTGACCAAACACATCATGAATAACATTTTCTTACTATTTAAGCCAAATATAAAGTTAAATTTAAAACAGTAAACAAAAGATATTTTCAACTTTTATTTCTTGTAAACCCAGTGTAAAGAATATCTGTTTGTAAAAGAATTTCAAGTCACATTAAATGACACTTCAAAGCCCCCAAACACACCAAAAGACAGACATGTTGCTGAAACTGAAGAGAAGGAATTAAATTATTTGTTTATCAGAGGAAACTCCACTGGGCCGAATCTGACTGCAGCTGACGGTCATGAATTTATCTGTCTGACCTCAAGAGCATTCTAAGCCTGTTGGACCCCTGAAATATATCTGGTGTGTCCCCGGTGTGAGATATAGATGACTGAAGAAGAATTACCCAGTAGCATCATGGAAGATTTGAGATAATGGTTACTATCTTCCCCCGAAGACACTTTTATTAACACCGCCATTCCACTAGAATCCAAACTATGTGTGAAATAATGGGAACAACGGCGATGCAATATTATGCGTCAAGTGGCTAACATTAAAAGAAACATACAAAAGGTAGGAATTTTTCTTTCTATGACAGTTCTGTGAGAAAGAATTTGACACCCTTCAGATTTTCTGGCTTCTTGCATGTTTATGCTACTGAAAGTTATCAGAGCTTCAACATGGACCCACTGGCTTTTGGATGACTTTATGAAATAAGTGAAACAAGCACCACAAAGCATTCTGTGGTAAAATTATGCAAGAAGTCAAAACATCTGAATGGGGCGAATGTTTGTTTCCACAGAGCTATATATCAGTTTGAAAATCGCTTTTTGTGTCTGTATGTCTAATGATCCCTGTATTGACCTGGGAAGAATCCATCCTGCACACCCAGTTGATACAGGACCTTCTGGAGGAGAGGCGTCTCTCAGTGACGTCACCTAGAGCCTACAGGATACCTGAAAGCTGTCCTGTTCAACTCATGTCCTCCTAACCTCGGTGGTGCTCAGTCCACTGTCCTCTACCTCTTAGGGAATCTGGTCACAGTGGATTAGAAACAAAACCCAGCACCATAACTCTAGTTTTATACCAGTTGATGGGAATTTTCCCTCACTTACTCCCTTTTCAAGCAGTCTTTATTGCAGCGTATAGCATATTGTCTCACCACTCTGCAGGACAGATGACCAGCGTTCATAGCACAAGTTCCAGTTCAATTTGCTCCTAATTATAAAAAAAAAGTAGCTTTGCTGCTTGAAGGATTCCAATTTTGACAAGAATAACCTTGTGTCTGATGACAGCATATAATAACCTTTTTTTTTGCTTTCACTTCCCAGATTGTGGAAAAGAAAAGGGAACTGTTTTTTTTTTTAACCCCTAGGCAACTACTTAGCTGTCTTTTTAGTTTGGATGAGAAATTGATAACAGCTTTTTTCATCTTCCTAAAGGAACAAAGCTCTGCTTTCTTTCCTGTGGAACCACAAGTGACAATTTCAGCCAGAAACCGAAAAGAAAAAGGGAACCTACATTTTGAAATGTTCATATTTTTAAAATCAATTTAATCTAATCAATTAATCTAAGTCAACCGATTAAGCCATAAGTAACATGCACAGTAAAAAGACTGATTTAAATACAGTATGGACACTATGGGTCTTACTTATCAGTAAATTAAGACTTATCTGTGAATATACCTTATGTGTTATGTTATGTATTACAAACAGACTGAAAAGAATTCCCAAAGTGGATGGGAATTCTTGGTCGTGAAAGGTCATTGCTTAGAACGTTTCACAAGTCTCTGTAAAACATGTGGACACAATTGTGAAGGACAAGACGGGGGCAATTACATTTACTACATTAACCTTGACAGAAAAGAAAACAAGAAGTCTTCGTGAACCTTCCTGAAGCAGGGCTGCCCACTGCAGCAGGGAAACTGATTTTCAAGACGAAGGAACGATTCCCTCCGACGAAACATTTGTTACCGTGGCACCCACTGGAAAAGGAAAGTGCATCTGTTGCTGTGACGCTTGCCTTGACCTAAGTCACAGTTCATCTGTGGTGCAGCTTTGAAAGGCGGCTAGCCACGCAACTGCCATGCAAACAAATTAGCGTGTACGGAAATTAGAATTGAAAATTAAACTTAAAAAACAAATCTACCTCCCGCCACCAGGCCGGACTCTCCGAGTTGAATGGCCACTCCAAAGCCACCCAGCTTGACTGGTGCCGAGTTCTCCTTTGACGCCAGGAGCACGCAGTGGGGCTGAAAGAGAGGGAGAATGGCGTTACTTCAGCAATCTGTAACCCTGCCACCCTGGGGGCAGACTCCTTGTGAGCAAGGCTGGAAGTCCAAACAGACCCTTAAACCAGCGATCCTTTCAGAAGCCATTTCTTAAAACCATGTTTCAGTCGTACGAGATCCATCGCAATTGCGTTAGCACTCCATGCCCCTGTTGCATTCAGTGGGCAGGGGGTTCCTGCGTGACTTTCTCAAATGTTGTGCAAAGCACCATTCATTAGTTCAGAGAGAAAAGTTGATTGCCCCCCACTTCTCAATGTGACTAAGATGAGAGTGGCTCCTAAGAGGGATGACATTATCTACCGCTGTCTGCTCAGCGTTGACAATCCATCATCAGAAAGTGTGGCACACAAGATGGCACTGGGAAGTGATCTTTAACCTGTGTGGAAGAGCACATGGGCCCTTCAGACAAAATCTGCTCTATAATGTGGCACGTCGCATCTCCTGTGGCTTACAGCCTCTATCCACTTGGCTGCTGGTGCAGAACTTCATCTGTTTTACAATTTTCAGTTCTCCTCAGACACCCTTGAGGGAGTGAGCAAGTCAAACTGACGTGACGGGAAATGCACCCCGAAACCAAGGTTGAAACAGCCCACAAGTCTGAAGTTTAAAAAACAGCCTGTGAATGAAACCCTCCCCATAAAAATGCAAGGGCAAATAAAATACCACAGGTTAGCATACAATTCACAAATAAAGCATAACAAGAATCAACATTTAGTCTAACCCCAAGCTGTGTTTTCAGTATAGATAATGTAATCTTTGCTAAAACACATGCCTTATTTAAGCCCCCCCCCCATTGTACTGTGCACAGCTTAATTTGTCTCTCCCATTCTGCTTTTCCAAGTCTCCTAACATTTTCAGTAGAAGCAAAAATTTCCTGTTTTAATTGCTGCATGAAACGCACTTATTAGTTGTCCAGGTTAAAGGCATATAGAACACGCCCATTCTTTAGTTCTGTGAATTGCTGTGGTCATATTTCCTCCCCCTTTCAAGCAAAGGCTTAGCTATCACAAACTGATGACAAACAGCTTAAGAAGAGGAGTGCTAAACGAGGCAGTAAGAAAAACTGGGCATCAGCATTATTTTGGTCTGCTGAAAGAAAACATCCTTACTTGACAAGCTTGTTAATTATGAAAGAAGAGGCACTGAGTCTCGGCAGAGAAAACTACTGAGCAACTTATATTTTGAATTTCTATTGATCTCAACTTCAAGCTGGCAGGCAAATGGGCAGAAATCCATGGGTGAGTATTTTTTACTTTGTACCTGATTCTGCAAAAGCTGAGAATGGGGTCTCAGCTTTTTTGCAATACTAACATTTCTAGAAGCAGGATTTCTGTTCGAGCTCAACTTGCGTGAGGCAGTTACTGACGGGGCAGAAGCAGTGTTCAATAAGACAAAGTGTGAATCATATCAACATCTCAAAATATCTTCCAACACACGAAGAATCAATCCATCCTGAGGTGAAAGCACTGATGTGAAAACTCACTCCAGACGGTATTGGGATAGCTGGCCTAATGGAAAAGCACAAGCCCACATTCTGAAATGGAGAATAACGGACCCAGGATCACACATTGGGTCAGGCAGCTGAAACTTAAACCGAATCATTTGATTCAAGTGGTATTATAAAAATGGCTGTATTAAAGACACTGGCATTAATCCTTAATGCTCAGAAACTTCCTAGTTTGAAGCCATTCCTGTTGAGAAAAGAATTATTGTGCATTATTGTGTTAACTGGTCAGTAAGAGAATATACTGTAGACTACATTTTTAAATGAAAGCAAACGCACCTAACACTGCACAGTAAAGACGGAGTCAAAAGTTGGTTTTTGCGTGCATCATTACTTGACCATAACACTCATGAAGACCACAGGAGTTGCTTTTGCAGAAAAGTAGTTTAGTGTTATGTACAAAAGTTGACTTGTAGGCTGAGGGTAACTTTCAATCAGTACGGGTTCTCCAATTCACTAAACAACAGAGCCATCACCCAACGTCTTCTTTATTTCAGAGTGTTTTTTATCGTCCCACAGACCACAATCTGCCAAGATTTTGAACAGTACTGAAAGTCAAGGAGAGGATGCTATCCGATGGGTAAAAAGATAGTTCTAAAAAAACTGGTTTACTTTGCATACCAAGAATATAGACACTTTCCTGATTTTTAGAAAAGCTTATGTCAAGATGCTGACCAGGGAACTGCACACTGAACTTTAACACAACTTCCATTTTGTAGGTTCTTAGCTTACTACGCCACAACTAATAAAACATACCCCTTTGGAACAATAGCCCATTAGACACTTTAATATACTGTAGCTGTTCTGAATAACAACTTGTGTATGTAAGCACGCAGGCACTGAATGGCTCCTCTCAGTGCAGCTTAAAACAGACACTTATGACACTTGAAGTGCTGTGAAGAAATTTCTGTGAAGAAAATAAAGACAAAAGGGGAAGAGGTGGCTGCAGTAAAGCCAATTAATGTTGAAATATAGGTTCTAGGAGGGAAATATGACAAAAAGATTAAAGTGGATGTAAACGATATAATCGGAGGTACGCTAATGCAGCCCAGCTTGGCAAGGATGGGGATACTCAACAAAACCTAGAATTCAGCATACTGTACATAGAGACAGAAAGGCCTAAAGCTGAGGCAACATATGAAAAACTGACAAGTAAAGTGTTCATTAATGTACTTAACTCATGTTTTAATGTACTTAATTTGTAGTGTTAATTATCCTTTAAGTCAATGCTTTGAACATCCTTGAAAGTGCAACGTGTTCTTTTTTCCCCAACAGGACCTATGCTCTGTAAGCTATTCTGTGGATGAACTCCCAGAAAATAGTGCACTGTTAAGTTAGTCTAGTCATGAACTGTGACCATTTAATAAAACAACCATTGTCTGACCTTAAATAAACTCTCTCTGTTGCAGGACTGAAGATTTCCTGTTTCTGCTAACAACATCAAGCGGCCTCACTCGCACAAGATGACAAGCCTTTTAATTGCTCGCAATGAATCCCAGCCCTACAGCACTATTACCAACACAAGCAAAAACGACTCCGGCTGCATCATAGACGACAGAGCTCTAAGAATTCCCCTGGCGGTAGTCTACTCTTTGATGTTTGTCTTTGGAATGGTGGGGAATTCTCTTGCCCTTTATGTCTTCCTCTTCATCCACCCCAAGAAGAACTCTGTCCGGGTGTTCCTCATCAACACGGCCATCGCCGACCTCATCCTCATCATCTGCTTGCCCTTCCGCATCGTCTACCACAGCGCCAACAACCAGTGGATGCTGGGCACGGTATTCTGCAAAGTGGTGGGCAATGTCTTCTACATGAACATGTACATTAGCATCACCTTGCTGGGCTTCATCAGCGTGGACCGCTATATCAAAATCCAGCGCTCCAGCAAAAGTTACAAGCTCCAGAGAACCAGGTGGAGCACCAGACTGTGTTGTCTGATCTGGGTGCTCTCGACTGCTGCCATCATTCCCATGATCGTCCTTTCAGAGGGTAACGAGACCCCAGGCAAGTGTTTCCATTACAAGCACCGAAAGTACGCGAAGGGGAAGGCTTACTTCAACGTGTTCTTGATCGTGGTCTTCTGGATAGTGTTTGCTTCCCTAGTTCTCTCTTATGGGAAGATTGCCAAGAAGCTGTATCAGGTTTCCAAGGATAAGCCGGATCTGCCCAATGCCCAGAAGTACAGCAGGACAGCCAAGAAATCCTTCTTCGTCCTCTTTATTTTCACAGTCTGCTTCGTCCCATATCACATCTTCCGCTGTGTCTACATCTGGTCCCAGATCAGTGATCCGAACTGCTACTGGAAGAACATCATTGACAAAACCAACGAGATCGCCTTGCTCTTCTCGGCCTTCAACAGCTGCCTGGACCCAGTCATGTACTTCCTGTTGTCGGGCACGGTTCGCAGGACCACCACGGACCTGCTATGCCTCTCATCTCACGCCAACATCAGCACCACCAACAGCTCCACATCAGACTGTCGACCAGCCATCGTATCCCAGGTGTCCACCAACACAAGAATAAGCTTCAGTCTCGTAAACCAGTGTAGATGCGGGCGCTCCACTACAAACCAAGGACAAGTCTACCAGCCAACACAGAAAAGCCTCCATTAGCCAGGCGACAAAGATTGGTCCCAAACGTGCTGATATATTGGGAGATAAGGTTTCAATGGAGACTTCACTTCAGTTCTTGAAGCCCAAATGCAGAAATTGACTAACCTTCTTACACCAGCTATATATAAAAAACTAAACCCTGCTTATGCATTGGGCAGAATATCAGAGAAAGGGATATTCTCCCTATTCATACATGCCAGCAGAAATAACTTACCATGGATGTTTCACGGGATCTTCTATTTTATGACTTTAACAATCTGTGCATCCAATCTCATTTGTTTCCAGCTATACCACTGCAAACCTGAGAATTTGTCAGGCACAAGTATTGGGAACTGATGAGAGAATATACTTTTCTGCAAGCAATAATAATAATAATAATAATTGCTTACACTTATATAGCACTTTTCTGGACACTCCACTCAAAGCGCTTTACAGGTAATGGGGACTCCCCTCCACCACCACCAATGTGCAGCATCCACCTTGCAATCAGTGTATTGTTTCCAGCTCTGAATATAGGACACTAACTCTCGATGTTGCAATATATGTACACCTGTACTACAAGTAATACATTGATTTAAATAAATTCAGATATGGCACATTTTGATCCTTGTGATCGACACGGTGTTAACATTTCCACTCAAATTTTCAAATGATGCCTCAACTTAATTCAGCACAAATTTCCTATTTAGAAATTGATGATTGGAGGGCTATCCATTGGATTTTGTCACAGAGAGTGCAGGCAGGCCATTTCTGCTCTGTATTTTGGGCGTTAAACAAAAACAACCTGTTGGAGTCTGTCCACTGATAGCAACCGAGCTACAGAATAATTAAGAGTATGCATTGGCTCAGTCCAATTTAAAATTAAATGAAAGCACAAAACACCAAGTCTGAGGGTCCTGACCACAATTTCCTACCCTGAAAATAAATTCCCATTCAAGTCATCTTCAAAGAGCACAGTGCCCTCTGCTGGAAAACATATTATACTGTACATGCAAGATGGAAAAATGAAGCCTTTTCCCACAATTAAATAATATCACATGACAAACTTAAACTTGTAACTTGTATAATACTTATACACAGGTATATGGTATAATGAAATGCTACTTAGCTAGCTCTCAGTAAGTAGTACAAAAAAAAAACCAACAATACAATTGTATAAGAAAAGAGACAGGGACAACAAGCAATGTGCAAAACAACATCAGTCGAGCAAAATCATACATCAATAGAATGAAAAAAAGGATTGAAAATTATGGGGAGTGAACTTCTTGACATGTGAGGTAGAGGTAGGTTTCAATGTGTGTTTGAGTTCTGATAAAGAGAGAAGGCACTGTAAGGGTTCAGATCATGGGTGGGAGTTTAGTTTGACAGAGCAGGGGTAAAAACCGTCTCTGAGTCTGGTGGTCCGGGCCCGGATGCTCTGGTACCATTTTCCAAATAGTAGAGGGTCAAACAGTCTGTAGCTGGGGTGTGTGTCTGTAGCTTTGATGATGCTTAGAGTTTTTATCAAGCACCGTCTGTCATAAATGTCCTGGATGGATGGGAGGGCAGCCCCAGTGATGGACTGGGCAGTTTTCACCACCCGCTGTAGGGCTTTGTGGTCAGCAATACTGCAGTTGCCATACCACACTGTGATGCAATCTGTACGTGTGCTTTCTGTAGTGCATCTGTAAAAGTTAGTGAGGATCTGTAATATCATATATTTAAATTATATATATATTATATGATTTTATACTATAAATGATATATTTAATTAATATCTTATGTCATGTCATTTACCAAACCGCTTTATACCATACAGTGTCATGGGAAGTCGGAGCCTACCCAGCAAGCATTGAGCGCATGGCCGGGTTCACCCTGGATGGGGCGCCAGTCCATCGCAGAATAAATAATGTATTTATGAAAATAAATGATCATAATTGTGTTCTAAAGATGGGGATCACCAAAGATCTGCAAAGGTAAACATTAAACTTCTCAGATGGTGAACGTTCACAGGTGTCAAGACAACCAAACTTGCAAAAAAGCAAGGTCTCATTTGCAACCTTCCTGAGGCTCTTGCACGAAGAATGGTAGCTAAATTAAAAAGAGGGAAGTGTCACTCAAGCAAACATGGCTGCATACACATACACCAGTATACGCACAACTTAGACTGGAATGAAATGAAATGAACCCTCATAAAGGTTATGAAAAAGGATTGGAGAACTACTCAAATGCAAGAACTTGTAGGGCATTCAGCACAGCATGTGCCTTGTATAAGGCAACTGGGATGAACACAAAGCAGAACCAACTCAATTTCACTGTGCTACTGACTGGTCCCCAGTAAAAAAAGCCTGCTCTTTCTAACATGGGCTACTCTCTGCCTGCAGCAAGATTATTTAAAGTTGAACAAAATCACTTTGTGTAAGGGCTTTGCTTGCAACTTTCAAACCATTAAGGCCTAATTCCAACAACATAAGCAAAATATAAAAAATAATAAAAATGTATTAATAAAAAGGGGCGGTGCGGTGGCTCTGTGGTAAGGATCTGTGCCTGTGGCTGGAAGGTTGCCGATTCGTATCCCGCGGCCGGCAGAGGAATCCTACTCTGTTGGGCTCCTGAGCAAGGCCCCTTAAACTCAACTGCTCCAGGGGTGCTGTACAATAGCTGACCCTGCGCTCTGACCCCAAGCTTCTCTCTGTGTGTCTGTGTCTCATAGAGAGCAAGCTGGGATATGTGAAAAGATGAATTCCTAATGCAAGAAACTGTATATGGCCAATAAAGTGATCTTATAAAAGGGGGCAGTGCTAGACACACTCCAACAGGTTTTAACACCTCACATACTCATCAACCCTGGGATTGTGTCTATTGCACATGAGCTCCCACAGCTATCAGATGTGTCTGTTTGCTTGAAGGCAGCTGAAAACCAGCATCTCAGGCTCTTTTTCTGAGGGGTGTTTCCACAAGAGAGAAATGACTGTTCTGCAGCACATCCTACAGAGAGAAACAAGCAATGCTGGGAATATTTGTCCTAAGGCCTCCTCATTCCATCTATCAATGACTTTAAAGTGAAAGAATTACACTTAATGTCTGAGGCACGGCAGTCCTGAAAATATAGTACAAGAGTAACAGCAGGTTAACTTGTCCCTTTACAAAACCTTCTCCTCTTCAAAGCGTAATTATAATGCTACTTATAACCGTTATTTTATATAGCACCTTTAAAAGTAGTTTCTCAAAGCACTTTACAGTAAGAAAAAATGAGGAGATAAAAGTGAGTACAATAAAGTGTTCTGAGCGCGGTAGAAGACGCAAAGGGGCAGACAGGGATCAGTTAAGTTAATCCCTTTCTGAAGAAAAAGGTTTTGGAGTTTTGGAAAATGTAGTTACTGCCATGTCAGTCAGGCTAGTAAAAAACAAATGAGCATTAACATAAGCATATACAAACACATAGTATACTGAAGACACCAAACATTCTCAAATAAACTGACAATATGTACACAAGAGTCAATTCCTTGTTGATGAAATGTACTTGGTGAATTTGATTGCAATTCATTTGCTTATCAGGTGGTACGAGAACATACAAAACAGACAATACATAATGTAAATTACAAAAATCAATTGGGGGAAAAAAAAAGTGAGGGAAGCAATGAAGTGGATAGCTCAGATGTCACGAAGCAATACGCATCTAGGTAAAGGAGTGCTGACTGAAGAAAGAATGACTGCAGAGTGCGGTATCAGATGCAGATGTCACATAGATCAAAACGCACATGTGTTGGGAGGAAATGGTAATGAGCAGTTTTCAGGGCCGATCATGAGGCATGATGGGAAGGGGGTTGCCTCGGAGAAGCCAACAGTTAGCTGGACTGTGAAACGGACACAAGTGAACACAGAGGAGACGTTTTCCCATCTTCTTTGCGCGTGTCCTTACTGAGCTTTTCCAGGTGCAGCTGGCCTGAGTATCTGAGTTGCGCTCATGTAAGGGACACATTTTTTGCCGTTTTCTCCACTGTGAAACGGGGGAAAAATAGCAAATGAAAGCGAGACAGTGTAACTACGGCATTTGTTATGACTGAGGTTATGGTGGTTGGATAAAACAACTATACGCACCCGAGCATGTGATGTTCTATCAGGAATCTGACTGGCAGAATAAATCTGATTTGCAAAGGTCCAATTCATTTACCCTGGCTTGTTCCTTGCAGAGCAGCCCTTCATTCTCATCACAGCACAAGATCAGCACATCTTGGGCTGTACAGGCAGAACTGAAAGAGTGTCAGTGGGATGCATGATAAAAACAAAATACATTATTTCTCTACTATGCCCACACGAAGTCTGCACAGAAAAAATCCCTTAGTGGCTTTTATTGCAGAAGTGGCTACAGTCCGAGGTGAAAGGTACACAGCAGCACAGATACCAGTGGGCCACTGAGCACACCTCCCACCCACAGAGATACCAACAAGCTCAAAGGGAAATCTTCCCCCACCTACAAACATCCTACACTTGGAATCTTCTATTTTTTTGCCAGGTTAGCGTGTGCCGTTGAATAAGTAATTCAGTGGAAAGCAAGGACTCCAATTATCAAATGTGGAAAGTGATAATTACAGAACAATTGAGGATAGGACAAAAGAGTAAAACGCAACAAAATCCTTCTATATACCTTCCCATCTATTCTTTTTTTCCTTTACATCTTTCTCTATAACAGCTGGCAAGCATAGCAGACAGCAGCCTTGACTGCCGAATGTTCAGCCCAACGATAAGATGCACTAGGGAACCTGGAAAGCCACCGGGACCTAGCAGACAGCACGATCGAGTGGTCAGGAGCTCTTCACGCATTTCTTAAGAAAGGCTGCAGGTCAATTCCTAGGTCATGATATTTTGAACATGATGCATCACTTAAATTCCTTCGGTAAAACACCCGGCCACTTAAATGGGAACAAACTTGAGATAAAAGCATCAGCCAAAGAAATGATGAGGAGGATAAATGGCAAATTAATGAGCACATAACATCTTCACTTGTGTTAATTGAGGAACAGAGTGACCTAATTAAGTCAGGCAGCGCAGCTGGAAAGAAATCCTTTAGATTTTGTGGCAGTCCAGGATTAGGGTTTGCAGAGCCTCGACATTTACAGTACCACGCACATAAGAAGAGTTAGTGAGTTGTCCAGCTTTGATGTGTGCAATCGGAACGTTTCTTTTTCAGGTACAGTGTGCCGCAGTGATATCAGCTTCAAAGCTATATCCGATATCTGATGCAGTAAAAGGAATGCATTCCGCATAATTCTTACTGTTTTGGTAGCTCTCTGAACCTCACAAGGATAATATGCGACACTGGTCTACAGGCGTGCAGAGTAAAAGGTAATGATGGTTCTTGTGATCTGTATCGTTAGAGCACAAGGCAGTTGTAAGTAAACGGACAGTGCTGTCACATTCAGCATAGTGTATGAATAAGTTTTGCGCTTATAGCTGGTACTTCTGAGATACTAAAATACGTCAGGGCAAAGAGTTGCCCATGTACAATTCCTCAAGCCAATCACCGAAGGTCTCTTCTTCACATTACAACACACTACAAACGCCAAGAGCTGCGGAACAAAAAACAAAGAAAAGAAGCTATAGCACAGTTTGTTTTACTTCCGAAAAACATGATTACATGCAAAGGAACAAAAGGGGGAAAGCAAGAAAAAGGAACTGGAGAGACAGACTGGGACATCTCCCCTTGCACCTGTACAGAGATGCTCAGATAATCAACCACTTCATTAAACCACCCACTTCTCAGTACGAGAAAGAAAAGGATCAGCATGCTTCTGCCTTGCGTTACATTTTAGTAATAAAGTTCTTAAATAAAGCATACAACAGTGGTTCTGCTGGCCAGGATGTCATGAGAAGACAGTTACATAAAGGACCTTCAGGAATTGGTGAAATAGTGGTTTTGACAGCGCTGTCCTACCACAAAGTCACTCGCTTGCCTATTTTTGTTTTTGATCTCCTGCGGATGAGAAAAGTGTTTTCCAAAACTGTAAAATTGTAAAGAAGTGACACAAAATGAGCAAAACAAAAGTGAGAGAAACCTGATTTGAAAGCTGGAACCTGCAAATCTATCTTTGGTTTCGCTGAAGAAAAACAGCTTGCACAAAGTCTAAAACTAAACACCTTTGACTTTGAAAGCCCTAAACTCATGACCAACAGTAGATTTTTTTAATCTTTGAAAGAGGGAGGATGTTTTTATTAAACAAAGTCAAATTTAAAAAAGAAAACTTTATGTCCCTATATAGGCTACACTGGTGTTTATTTCACACAACCTGAAGTGCATTAAGAACCACAGGATGTCACATGCTCGAGTGAGAGATCGTCTTGCAGATTTAATCTGAACTACAGCAGATACACACTACTGGGGAAGCTAAGAGGAATTATTAACGAGATCCGATATTTGTTACACTGACTGAAATGCAGATTTCTTGAAGATGCATTCTGGTGACTGTTTTATCAATAATACCATCAGCAACACAAGGTAAGTTTATTTTTAAGGTCTATTTTCTTATACTTTATACACTTAAAGCTCTATGACATGTTAATGTTCATTGTTTGCTCTATTTAATACAATTGCAGGTTTTAACAATGCTCAGCTGATCTCTGCAGCTGATTGCAGAAATCTAATATTGTGAAGACGCGTTACAAAATAAAGCTCACTGCATACACTGGCCACTTTTACCGAAACCTAACATCGCAAGAATGCAGAGAATCAAAAACTACATCAGCTCACCCAGGAAGCTGCTCTGAGATTCATACCTCCCATTTTAAGCATGGACAAGAGACACAGCCAACCAGGTAAATCAAATTAATGTAATGAATCCCAGAGCTTCCTCTTGCATCAAAAAACCTGGTCAGGAAAAACAAAACTTAAATAAACAAGGGAAATGTAACGATAATCACAGAAGTTAACAAATGGAAGAAAACGGAAGTTCCCGTAGTGTCAGTTACCTAGAATTACACACAACTGGCAGGAGACAGAGCACAGGACCCTGCTGGAGTGTAAGGAGGACAGACAATGTGATGCTGAAGCACTGCATTTACTATGGCTGCTGCTTATAGATAGGTTACACAACAAATGCAAATCACTGTTAAAACTCTGATATTCCTCAGAACAAGGCTTCTGTCCTAGAGGACCATACTGTACATCTGCTGGTGTTCATTCCAGCCCAGTTACTCCAGTAACTGAAGCCTTGATCTAGTTTACAAAGCTGCTCAAAGGGACGGAATGAAAGTTCTTTTACTTGACAGTTTGGGGATTTTACTCCGGAATAGTTAAAAGGTTCCCGACAAGTTTAAGAGCCGGAAAATAGACAAACAGTTAAAGTTAATCCCATGATCAAGTCATTTGAGGGTTTGACTGTGTACCAGAGCTTGGCTTGGCTTCAGGAACAGGTTTGGAAACCCCTTCTTTACCCCTTCAATAGTAAGGAAAAACAGTGGTGACAAATCTGCAAAATACCAAAGAAAAAAAAAGACATGGACCCTACAGGGGAAGATGAACTGACAGAGGCTTCAAACCCACCTCTCAAGAAAGGCTCCATGCATCAGGTCTCCCTGGGACTACTTTACAGCTCACCTGTCCATTTGACGTCTCCAGCTCAAAACCAAAACGACAAAGGATATTCTCTTTAAAACAAATTCCCTGGAACCTTCTTTCTGCATTCCTGAACACAAACACGTCTCCCAAAAAAATGCTAAAGAATCCAGTGAGGTATTTTTAAAGCCTCAGAAAACTGGTTTTGGTTCTCAAACTTTCAGTTCAGTTTAGAGACTTCTAAAAAGTACCTTTCATTCCATTAAGCAAAAGAACAATTTAAAAAATACAAAAACAAAACCCCTCCTTTGGGAAACGAATCTTCTTGCTATATTTTAGACAAGACCAGATTATGTTTTTTGGGTTCCAGTGCATCAATTTCTGCTCTAAGTGGATTTTGGCAAAATGTGGCAAAACGCAGACCACCTGGGATTACTTTCACAAGTTTCTCAGATCTTGGGAAAAGTGCTATTTCAGGAGACTGAAAATACAAGCTAAATAAATACAAGATAAATCCCTGTTAAAAACCCTTGCAAGAGGATCAGGGATTGATGGGGTTATACAGTATATCTTACAAGGGTATCAGAAATACACTGAAGCCAAACAATCAAGAAAATTAGCATTTTTTCCATAAAAAACTAGCAGGGGCAACTTATCTGATATCTCAAAACCCACACAGACTCCTTCAACACTCCCTCTTTTAACTGTGAGATGAGAAAAGCAAATGAAACGCAGATAAAAGGAACTTGTGGTTCGATGTCAGACCTTTATGAAAGTTACACTTACAGTTCAATAAGGAAACCAAACATGAGAACATCCTGTGTGTCATCCTGTGTGGCTTGTAGGTAGCAGTACACTGCACAAGACAACACCTCAGCACATATGATATTTCCTGGCAAAGAGCACACAATGGAAGCAGAATGAGGCTGGACTTGCGCCCAGCAATCAGTCTTAACGAGCTCAGTTCCAGCAAAACATGACATAGTGCCACACTCAACCCTTCTGAAAAGCCCCCATCCAGAGCGGAAATCTTCATCCAGAAATAGTCTTTGAAATTGATGTCCACATACAGTGAGGGAAGCACTCTAACTGGAGGAAAAGACAGTACAACAGTAATCCCACAACAGGGCTGTCCAGTCCTGGTCCAAGTGCCAGGGACATTTGCAGATCTGCATTCCAACTTAACCCTTAACAAGCTGAACCAGGGGGTTATTGGTCTTGACCAGTCAACCAGTTTAACAGCTTCTCCCAGCTCTTCACATATCTGCTGTTTCAAAGAGACCTACAGTATACAACCTGCACATGGACACAGCCTCCCTCCAGGTCCAGGTACATGGAGATTCAATGACATGCCAAACAGCTACACCCCTCACAGCAGAGCAGTACTACGTGTCAAACCAAGCTTCATTTATTGGGATCATATGATAAATTCTGTGCAATTAACACAAATAAATCTATTTAAATTAAGGAGAAATTAACAGGAACAAATGCAGTGTATGCAAAAAAAGTAAATTGAAAAATAATAACAGATTCATTTTTCATATTGTGGTAATCATGGGTAATCGCAATTAACTTTTCAATTAATCCCTGCACAGGTAGTGCTGCATACTGGAGGACTGTAGATAGTATTGCCTCGGGAGTGTTAAAATGGCTTTTATTTTTCCTCTGCTCTTTCAGCATCCCAGAAAGCATTTGTAGACTCTGTCCTCAAATAATTCCCTATGAAGCCATTGCCTATGTGTACCTGACGCTAGCCATTGTGGGGTTTCTCACCAACGGTCTGGCCCTGTACGACCTGTGGAGAGCAGAGAAAACGACGACGGTGACCTTCGTCGTGAACATTGTTGCCTCCGACCTCATGCTGTGCTGCAGCCTTCCGTTCCGGGTGGCTTACTACTGGCACAGCGCCCAGTGGGCTCAGGAATCCTCCATGTGCACCCTGGCCAAGTTCACCACCATCTCCCTCTTCTACATCAACCTGTACTGCAACATGCTCTTCCTCCTCTGGACGAGTGTCAACCGCTACGTCAGCGTGGTCCGGCCCAAGCTGCCCCTGCTGAGGCTTTTCAAAAGAGCTCGGGTCTGCCGCCTGCTCTGCGCTTTCACGTGGGTGGCGGCGATCGTGGTCATCATTGGCACCATCTCCCGCAACATCGCCAAAAACAAGACGGTGGCCGCCAACTGCTTCGACCACATCGTCAACGCCAACCGGCACAGGTACAACACCACGCACGTGATAGGGGTGACGGTGTTCTTCCTTATCCTCGTGCTCATGCTGGCATTTTACGCCCTGCTGGTTTACCACCTGCACCTCATCCAGAGGAGCAGCCTGGTGGGCAGGGGCCAGCGGGGCAGCCTGAAGGTGCGCAGGAAGATCCTGGCGTCGGTGGTGCTGTTCGTGGCCTGCTTCCTCCCCTACCACTTGGAGCGGATCCTGCTGCTGACCTCGGACACGGGCGACTGCCGCTGGCAGGAGACGCAGTACAAGGTGAAGAACTGCACCATCCTGCTGGCGGCGCTCAGCTGCTGCCTGCACCCCCTGCTCCACCTCGCCCTCCGCTCCCGCTGCTGCAGGGCCCGGGCCGAGACGCACGGCCGGGCCGCCAACAGTTGCACCGACGCCGGCCACACCGTCACGCACGCCAACATCAGCCTGTCAGCCATCCTCGACGCGCCCCCGGGGGAGGGCTGGGACTCCAGGGGGCACCAACCAGACCGGGGAGGGGGACAGCTCGCAGGCTGTTTGGCACCCTAACGGACACTCTGATGTCAAATGGGATTTCACCATCCTCAACAACCTTAAAACAGCCACCCCTCACAGCATCACAACTTTAGCTGAGGTATCACGCATCTCCAACAAGAATGTCTGTCAGCGGCCAGGCTACCTGACACTGCCGTGTTTGTGTGTGCTCTTTTTTGTGCTTGGCGTTGTGCACCTAGCCATCAGCACTTTGTGGTAGTTCTCTCACAGCCCTGTACTTGACAGGGCTTCTTCACTAACTCAGGGAATTGGGAGGATGTCTGTTTGCGTGCTAAGTGGAAATGAAACCGTACAACCCTTTCCTGAAGGACTAAGCCCAGCAGAGGGTTGGGACCGAAATAAATCAACACCTGTGCCTCAGACACTTGTGAAGGAGAGTTCTGCCCCCAGGGGAACACGTCTGAAATGCCTTTTTCCGCAGTTTCAACTTGGACTCTTGGTGACAAAAAGTCTCTCCTTGTTCATAAAATGTGGGAGTTTGTAAAATAAAAAAGGAAAACTAAAAGTGAACTGAATTGCTTAAGAGAAAAAAAAACGTTTTTCTGTTTTGCAATGAAGATAATATAGGTGTTACTGCTTCAAAAAAATACACCTTTTACAATCACATTTAATATACACAAAGCTTTGCAACACTCATTCCCTCCCAAAACAATGACATTTTGATGATTTATGAAGTAATGTGTGGACTTTCAAATGAGCTCTTTTTATTCAAAACCGTAATGATCAAATTGAAAACAGTTACATGAGAAGAAGGCTGGATGTGGGTAAAGCCTATGAAGAAGATGCACAAAGTGAAATTCACTGACTGCACAAGTAAACAGTCAGTATTTGGGAGAAACACTTTTGCTCTCAGTCATTGGGGATGGGACTCCACATTTTAACAGTGGAATGACAGAATTTTCTGCCCATTCTCCTTGGCAAAGCTCTGGAAGATTCTTGATGAACTGCAAGCAGGTCTTGCTGTAAGTATTCTTTTGAATTCAAGCCAAAACTTTGACCACTCGAGGACGTGTACCGTCTCATCCAAATACAAAATCTGCCACGTCTGTAGTATGTCTCCTCACAACAATCTGGTCCTTTTTTTTGCAGTAATGGTTTCTTTCTTGCCAGAAGAGCTGGTAGGCTCGTACAGGGATCTAGGATAACATTGATCTCTAGCCTGAACATCGATCCCATTTCAGAGAGAGATCACTGGTCACTGGTGACTTCACAGTGGCATCACTACCCAGTTTTCTCCACACCTGCCTGCTCAGTTTTGAAGAGGAGCACTCTGGGTAGTACCATGCACATTCCATGACCGACTTCACTAAACGTAAAGGGGAAAATTAACCTTCTTCTGATCTGTCACTCTACCGATTCAGCCCTGATATGTTTCAAAACCTCCCTAGTATTCATTGTTGATTTACCAGATTGCAATGCGAGTTGCAGCTGGAACTTCAGTATCTGAGGGAATTCAGACACATACCTTATTATTATTATCATTTTTAAGGGCTCAACAGTACAACACAAAATTGAAAGCATCCAGTTATGAAATATCTAGAATTAGAATTTTTTTTCCCCCTCAAATACAAAAACAATACAGTATACATCTCTGACTGTGAACTAAACACCCCTGCTTCCTGTAGAAAAAATTCTAACAGCTAGCTGTTTGGCATTTTTAAGAGAATTCTAGGTAAATATCATGGCAGTGAGGACTCTGCTTTACAAGAGTTTACATAGTATACTGCATATGGCTTTTTACACGTTAATGAAAAGAAATGTACAGATTTTTGAGCAAGCCCTCCCACAAAGAAACCGCTGTTAGGCTTGAGGCACATCCACCAATATTTTCTACACTGCTACTAGCTTAAGGAAACAAACTATTTCCTTGTCTAACTCCCCAGACTAGGGTTCCTAACACCATCGTGTATTATCACCACCAGCCTCTCAGCCTCTTTCACTCCACTGCTGGATGAAGGCTTCCCAAAATTCTTCCACAAGCCTGATTGAAGCTGCCTGGTTCCACTTTCCTTCCTATTTCTTTTCAAACTGAGCGCCACCATTTGAACACCACACCACAGGTTTTCTGGTATGGGCATTGCAAGGCTAGATCAATTTCATAGAGGGACTATTTGGTGTATTTTTGAAAAAGAGAAGTTGCACTCAAGTAATGTCTCAATTAGAACTGCTTCTATTAGGACTGATTTGCTGCAGCACCTAGAGGACTCTAAGTGGAGGCTGTAGTTGTGCATCCTGCTATTATGTATGCTCAAGGCAAAGACAATGAAAAAAATTGTACAAACTCCCCGACGAGTGTGTTGCATGATACAAGTGTTTACTGTTCAGACAGTGTAGCCTGTAATCACTCATAAAATAAATCTAAAAACTCGCTTCATCACAAAGCAGACTCAAGCCGCCTCAGGGTGTGCTCCAGCTCCTCCCATCAGTCTCTCACCACTGCCAAGCTGAAGGAGTGAAAGCAGGTCTTCTCAAGAAACCAGGTTGCAATACAAAGTCTGTGGGAGTTGGAGATCCCCCAGACAAGCCACACTTCATGAAAGTATTCTGCTCCTGCCATGATGTCCCATTTGGATGAACAACATACTGAATATTTTTAATTAAAATGTGAATGCTCAAACTGAAAACATGCATTACATACATTTGTAATTCAACAAAACAGGACTTGAAAGGGAAAAAAACGTTTGCAAGGCACTGTTTGTTTTGCATGGCCTGATTGTAGGAAGTCAAGTGGCCGCTATGTTCTCTTGAGAAAACACATTATACTAGGGAAGTGCACTGGCACAGTCATTAGCATTGCTGCTTTGCAGCACTAGGGCCTTGCGTTCAATTTATGGGGTGATATCTGAGTGGAGTTTGTACATTCCTCTGGTTTACTCCCACGGTCAAAAGACAAACGTGTAGGTGAATTTGCTTCTGGAATATCTGGCCCTGTTAAGAGTATGTCCATATGTTCCCAGTGACGACTAGTGTCCTGTCCAGTGTATATTCCGTCTTGTGCCTGCTGCTTGCCAGGATAGGCTCTGGCTCCTCTGTGACCTTGCATTGGATGAAAGGGTTTGAAGATGGATGTTGCACTGGGGAAATGTGCATGTTTTGATCTTATCTATATACAGTATATAATACACATATACTGTAGCACTAGCAGTAGACCCAGCCTGAAAATAGCTTAACTGCTTACAAATATCCATCATTAAAGGTAAATTCAGAGTCATTCCAGCTGTGGAAACCCAAAAATGGGTCCATTTAACTCATGTTTCTACCCAAATGTGATTAAAAGTGAAAATGTCAAAACTGTGAGAAGCCGCAGATAGTTGAACAGAAAGACTTAAAAACTCCACCTACAGAAGTACTCCATTAAGCATTTGAAACCTCTCAGTTTCACATTTTTGACCACAAAACAGGCAGGATGCTGCTTCCGGAGAAAGACAAATTCCACCCTATCTACATAAATGCAAACCTGTTTCACATTAATAAACTTAAATTCTTGGTTATTTGTCAAATAGGACTTTCAATCTCCAAAAGGGCATTAATGACATGCAACAATGTTGCAATGAAAGGTAGGAAGGTGTGCCGAAACATTATTTTTCCAGAAAAAAAAGGTTACAAACAAGAGGAAGTCATTTTGGTCTTCGAACCGGTTTGGTAGTTCGTCATTGATAAATCCCAAGGTCTTATCCAGCAGTTTCTTGAAAGACAGGGGATCAGCTGCAACAACATGACTGGGTGGTCTGTTTTTTGTTTTAAATGCATTCCCTTGTAGTTTCCATTTTTCCTCCACTGGTCTGGTCTGGAGAGTTCCACTGTTCATTCTGAAGAAACATTTTGTTCTGCACATAGTTTTTAATATGTTTAAGCATGTAACCTCTGTGGTACTCATGATCAACAATGGGCAAACTGCAAGTCCTAGCAGCATGCCAGTGATTAAGGAAATCACAAGAAGCCTTTACAGTAAAGGACAGTGACAGAATCCCAGAGGCATTAACACAGCAGAAATAAATGCTATTGGGACAGCTGTGTAAAGTACTTCTGGAAGAATACACTCTAACAGAATTCAACAACCACCGCCGCTTTCAAACTATAGGACTTAAAGTACCAAACAACCCTCCTTTAAGTTTAATTTTTCACAAACGCGTATATACTTGGGGGGCATGGCAGTGCAGTGGTTAACATTGCTGCCTCTTGGCGTGAGGGTCCCAGGTTCCGGCATTTCCCTGTCTTGCTCCCACTGCTTGCCGAGATAGGCTCCAGCTCCCCCCGAGACCCTGAACTGGATGAAGCAGAAAGAAAATGGATGGATTTCTTCCGTATCAGTATACAACTGAACGGAGTGCATATAAATACAGTGGTGCGATTTGCCATCTGTGTTCTGAAGATAATTGTAGGCCACCACTAAACTGAATCTTACTCCAGTGCTTTAGCTTGCAATTCAGGACTGCCTTGGTCACATTACCTCAAGAAAATGAATAACTAGATTTAAGAAAAGAGAAAAGCATACATTACTAACTGGAATTTTAGTGATACACATCCACTTACTATACTTCAAAAACAAACTAAAAGAAAATGATAGCTACTTAAATTCTATGTCATTAATTCTGGCGAAGCAAAACACTTTGGTTTTAAAAACAGAACAATCTATTTATTACTCTGATGAAAAGCTAAACAAATAATTGTCATACTGTAGCTTAAACCAAGTGCTCATTTAACACATCGCAATCCTTTAAGAGTCTCAATGAAATTTCATTTGCTGAAGAAAATCCTCTTTCTTCAGCATCTTTGTTCCACCTCCTCAGTGAAGCCATCCACCTCTGCTGAAACACATGAGCATTGACTGCCGAGTGTGCCAGAGTAAAATCTTTTAAAAGTGATGAAGACGCAAACAAAAAATGTATTCCACCAATAGCTTCCATTACATAACGGCCAACAGATTAATACACGTCTACTGTGCTGCTTCAGAAGGGAGTGTGGGGGCAGGAGATGTGGGCATCCCACTCTGACAGGACCCATGCAGAACTGCTCAAGCTGCACCAGGCCTTAGAGGAGAGAGACTGCTGACTGGTGCATCTCTCATGATGTCACAGCAAACACCTAGGCATCCACAAGTCAGAGGAGCTGCCCTTTTGCTGGGAAGTCAATACTGCCCTGGCTGTCCAATCCTAACCTCCCCCTAGAGGTGCTCTGCCTTTTGTGCACCAGTGCTCAGAAGGTATGATTAATGACAAACAGCTTTGCCTAAAGGAGTTTCATACCTTTAAATGCACTGTGGAGCTAAATGATAAACACTTTACCAAGACACAAGTCGATTTGTGAATAGGGTTTACAACTTGCTACTTGCACTAACATTTTCAACAAAGAAAATTTCCTTAAATTATCAAAACATAACCGAATTTATATACCATCCATTTGTTAGAATATAACAAATAGCTTTATCATTTTACTTCAATAGAAGTTGCAGAGCACAAGAAGACCTCTAAACCAGTACGACTGGAGCAACACTAACAAGTTAAATTAGGCTACCACTGCAGGAATGTGGTATTGATTCACGCACAGCATGTCCTCCAACTTCAGTTCTGAAGACCTGTCATAAGTAATTCATTACACAGTTAAAAAAAAATTAAATAACAGTACCATAAGTACCACGGCTACATCCACTGCTACAACAGTGGTTCACACTTGCAGTTTTGAAGACTGTTGCCTTTGATCACACTGACTTTGGAACTGCATACGATTAAAAGCTTAGTTTATGTGTTAAACTCAAATGCAAAAAAAGAAAAAAAACTTCAATTGATTTTTCTTCCGTCACACAGAGCCAGGAATTATCTGAAGATTGACTAAGTTACGTTCAAAATGAATGAAATGAGCACAACACAAGATAAGAAAAGGTCATTATTCTAACAGTTTGCAGTTTAAAGGGACACCATTCTGTAAGTGGAGAAACCAGCTCAACAACCCATCACAAGATAATGCACGTGCTGCACCTACCAAAGACAGTAACAATTTACCTGCCTTCAATGACTTTCGAATTTATTTCTTTAAGAGTGAACTTTAATGATGTAAAGAAGGAACCTGCCCACATTTATTACAATCAATTAGGGAAGGTATAGGCAGCATAGTGGTACTGTGGTTAGCAGCGCTACCTAGCAGCGCTGGGGCCCTGGGTCCAGTTTATGGGGAGGTATCAAAGACATTCTGGTAGGTACACTGGTGTCTGGGAAAACTGGCCTTGGGTACATGTGTGCCCTGAGACGGACTGGTGTCCCTTCCAGGGCTTATCCTGCTTTGTGCCCATTGCTTACCAGGATAGGCTCTGGCTGCTCCACAGCCCTGTATTGGATAATGCAGTTAGAAAATGTATGGAATGATGGATGGATTTAGATAAAGTATTGCTTAAATTCAAACGTTCTCTTACAAAATTTGTAAACAATGGTCAAATACCCAGGAGGGCCCTGTGCACAGAAGCTATTTTGATGACCTTACTTTGTCATGGTATAAGCCATACAGAGAGGCTACAAAAGGACTATGAGCTACAAGCTACAAGAATGTGCGATTTCAGTGTGCTCATTAATGCCATTGACAGAAAATAAACTCAATTTCCATTTCTTCTTTGTGTGGCAAATGTTTTGTGGGAAAACGTCTGGCTGCTGTAAAGAACGTATATGGTTTCTGAGAGCAAATGATAACTACTGATTAAGAAAACGAAAGGAACAATGCCAGGGGAAAATAATCTACTAAAAAGGTATACAAGCTGGTGTTTGTAGAAGCAAACTGTAAAGGCCATAGATCGTAGACACAGAGAAAGGGACTATAAATGAGTGTTTCTGTGGTTTCACAAAGCTTTAACATCAGTTAGTGATTCTTTCTACTGTAAGGAAATGTGAATTAACCATATAGACTGCAAGTTGCTGCCCCATTATTTTTCTAGTAAAATTAAACCGCAGACACAATGCTAACAGAAACCTCATCCTCAGAATCCATGCAGTAACATGAATAACATTGTTAACTTGGTCAGGGTCTATTGCACCAACATGTACTACACTACAATAAACTCAATTCAGTGCTACTAAAATTAATACGCACCACCAAAAATTAAAGAAGGATTAAACAGAAATCCTAGATTCCCGATTGGCAAACTGTTAGACATTTAAATACAGCAATTAACAATACTTGGATTACATTTTAAATTAGCTAAAATGACAAGTTATAGTTTGAGTGGAAACTGGCATCTATGTGACACCCTACTGGGTTGACAAAAAAATTCCCATATTAGGACTAATGTGTAAAAATCAAATGGCTACATAAAACTGAACTCTTGTGAACAGAAGCTCATTAAAGGTTTGCACTGTAAAACCTGAACAGACTCAGTTCATCTCTCATTTATGGTGACTGTAAGGATCTTCTCGTGTTTGAATTAGCACGTTTACAATCGTGACAGAAGTGGTTCCCAGGGGTGAGTCTACCCATTCCCTAAAGACTCAACATCCAAAAACGTTTTTCTTCTTTCTACTTGATAAGGAATTCAACTTTCCTTGTTCTTATCCTGTATCTGCTGTTGCAAACCCGCTTGAAATCTTCATTTGAGGTTAATTCTCAATTAAAGCTATTTTGCACATCCATTAAAAAAATCATTTATTGCAATGTGGATGCCTTGTTTACTATTCGTGTGTTTGGTCCAAACCCTGACTGAAGCACAATTTACGTGTCTTGCTCAGCTGGCGTAGCCCGCCGGGCCAGAAGAACAAGGGGGTAGATGGGGGTGCAAACGATGATGCGCGCGTGGGAGTCTACCCACAGGAAAGAGGAAGTGAACCAGATTAGGACTGGACTACCGTTTAATACTGCATGGAGAGAAGAAAGCATATTCATTTCGTGAACCCAGAAAAGCTGAAGCACAAGCAGAGATTGACAACCAACGGAAAAGCTAAAAGATTGACATTTCCCCCTTCGGCAGTCGTGACTATTGTCCGCTCTTGCTCCATCGCCGTGATGTCCTTCAGCTGACGCCTCTCCCCAAAAGAGGCACAGAACCCGGGGGTGATTCTGTTTACCAACAGCTGTGCCACAGAGCCGATTACAGCAACGCTGTTCCACAACCACCCCTCCCCACAGAGCACAGCTTTAAAGCCTTTAATTTGCTTGCTCAGGGGAGCACACCGAGTCGGAGAGAGAACCTAGGGCTTCAGACAGGACCCCTAAGGGGAATAAGACCCTGTCGCTCAGCTACCAGACTCCCCCATGCTTTCCAGGCCTGTTGTGTTGCAATACAAACACTGCAATATTTATTGGACTAACACAGTTATATTTTCAAAAAGGCTGCTATTATGAGATCATTTATCAGGATGAGATGCGGTGGCTCTGTGGTAAGGATCTGCGCCTGTGGCTGGAAGGTTGCCGGGTTCGTGTCCCGCGGCCGGCAGAGAAATCCTACTCCGTTGGGCCCCTGAGCAAGGCCCTTAAACCCCAACTGCTCCAGGGGCGCCGTATAGATGGCCGACCCTGCGCTCTGACCCCAAGCTCCTCCCCCCGTCTGTGTGTCTCATGAAGTTGGGGTATGCAAAAAAGAAATTCCTAATACAAGAAATTGTATATGGCCAATAAAGTGATCAAAACTTAAGAACAGTGGAATCAAAGATGAAAAACGGATTTAGCCAATTTCCTCTAACACCGAATAAACCAAGTAATATCTAACATTTGCTTGCTATATATTTGGATAGTTACACACAAAGATGTAACTGTGGTTAATCTAAATCGGGACAGTACTAATCAGATAAAGAGGGTGAGGATATTCACTGACACTTAATCTGCTTGCTCCCTGTAATGTGCCTTACTTACCACTAGAGGCTGACCTGGGACCACTAAACACTTAGTATACACTGTCTCTTCTAGGCAAGTTAAACATTTCATGCTGCAAAATCATTTTACAACATGACATTGACTTCTTTTTTGAAGAAAGACTTTTTAATTGCTTTTTTTAAAAAAAAAAAACTTTGATTTTTAAAATGTCCCGAAAAAATCAGTAGGCCGATTTGCCAGAAGAAACTTATTTATTGTCAGAAAATAAGTATAGAAATATAGAGTATAGAAAACCTTCCCCTGGAAGATGTTAGGCTTAAGAAAGCTACAGACAGTGGACTGAGGAGGGCAGTGATACTGCTTTTAAAGGTGTTAAAACAAACTTCCTCTTCTTCTGTATAACCAGGAACACTCTCTCAACATTATGCTTCAACCAGAGAAACAGAAAACCACGAATTTTTAATTCAGCTGCTCCTGACAAAAGGATTTTTATTTACTGAAAACACCAGTGGTAAGGATTGTTTTTCTTTGGTTATAAATCCTCCAGTAATGAGCAATAATCTACCAAAAAAAAAAGCTTCACGTACTCCAAGTATCGTGTTTTACAAAAGATCACATTACTGGGTGCGAAAGGGAAAAGTTATCTCTTTAAAACAAAACGTGCAAATTATCACGTGCAAGTAAATGGTCCTGGGAATGAACAGTTGAAAAATAGTAAAGGGACCAAGTCACAAGGAGGTGAGTCAGAAATTCAGGTAGCAAGTTTTATAATATTTATGGCAACAGTTAGGTAAACTAAGCCATTTTAATTACCTTATCCACCTTCTCAATTTATCTGCATGACAATTATACACACAATTAATCACAAAGCTTTGTTGCCAGGTTTTTAAACATAGATAAAAAGCCAAACCCAACATACTATTAATCTAAATTCTCAGTGGCTACTGCTCTTATCATGCATCTCAAGGGTTTTACAGCCTACCTGTAAATCAACCACCACTACATTTCAACACAACATTTATATCTAATATTAGTTAACAGCTAATTCTCTGCTTCACTACAGAACTACAATTTGTGCATTTGAGATTCTTAAGATAATTTGTACATACAGTAGTCTATTAACTATGCAGTTAAAAAAACTATACTAAGTTTTTTTTTCCAAATACAGCAATATTTGAATTATTTTTTTTTTAATCATTTAATCCCAAAATGTTTTCAAACTAACCTGCCGATGAAGTGCTTTATTAACTTAAAATTAATACATGGTAGAGTACAGATTAAGACGCATACTCATCTGAACTGCATATAAAAATACACTCAGGTGCACATGGAGAATTATGTTTTTAAAGAAACTAACAAGTAAGAAGTCCTTCACTGATCCGATATAAACATTTGTGAAGTAAACAATTCAGTTTAAAGTTTTAATAAGATCTTGCCACAGAAAATCAAGACATCAAGCTGAATCTGTCATGCTCGTTTCATAAAACCAACAGCTGAAAAAATGTAAATTTCTAAGAATATGGCACCATGGCAAATTTAAAAGTACTGTACAGACGAAAAATGATAAGGTTGCACCTAATCTGTATTGTTATGGTTTTAAAAGCAAAAATACTGTGATAGGAAAATGTGGCATCTCGGGTCCACTTGCTGGATTCTGGACTTTGATCAGGATCTGTGTATTCCTGTTCTAGAAATAAAACCACCAGCTCTTCAGGGGAATGCAATTTCTTTTATCTGTACAGAACAGCCATATGCTAAGAAGCAACACAAATAAAGGAGGTTCCCTGTCTACTAAAGACTCAGAACTAGAATGCAAATATATTTATATCTCATCTTAACACAATCTAAATGCCATCTGCATACATTTTTAAAACTATGCCCTTTCAAAACAACATCCTTTGACTGCTTTGTATTCATTTGGCTGTTTTGTGCTCTTGATATGTCTTTTGTAGATTTGTGTTTGTAAATGTGAATTAAATATACTGTATTAAAAGCATTATAAATGTTATTTCAGATGGCAAGCTATACACTGTAATGGAAATAACATGTGGGTAGAGAAAAGCGTACTTCCATTTTATTAAATTTTCAAATAGAAGACCACAAAAATAACACATATTAAAGGAGTGAGTGTGTAATGTGGATTAAGAAAGTAAACTTCAAAGATACTGACCAGACTGTAACTGATTCACTTCCAGACCTATGGCAAATGTATCCCATGATGCAGCTGGAAAGGGCGATGTTTGCTGGTCAAACGTTTCTTGCCTCTGTCCATCTCACGGCACCAGATCCATCCTACCTCTTCTGTATTTCCTGATGTTCATCACTGGGCTGCCTGGAAATGCCCTCTCTCTCCAGATATTTGTGAAGAAAATGACCACCAAAACGTCGACCCACTTCTACCTGACTAATCTAGCCGTCTCCAACATGTTGCTCTGTGCGGTCATGCCGTTCCTGTCCATGTATTACATGATGGGATACAAGTGGCAAGTTAACACAGTGGTGTGCAAGATGATCACAGCCGTGGTGACACCAATCTTCCACATTAACATCTACATGGGCATGTTCATATTGAGCTGGATCGCACTGAGCCGCTATGCTATCCTGATGAAGTCCTATGAGCACAGGGACCAGTGTCATCTGGCACATATCCACTCCAGCCTTCTCAAAAGGTTCCGGGAGTTGAGTTTTGCCAAAATGCTGTGCCTTGGCATCTGGACCTTTGTGATCAGTGCCATTGTTCCTGTTGTGCTGTACTACTCCTTCAGTGAAGTCGGAGGAGAGGAAGCTTGCTATGGCCAAAGTGTGGAAATAGGAGGAGAGGCCTCACAGATCTCCAGCGCCATCGCCATCGCCGTCTTCTTGTTCTGCTTCCTGTTGGTCCTGCTCTCCTACGTGTCCGTAACGAGGCACCTTTACAATATCCAGAAAAGCTCTGCCATTCCAGGGAAGAGTCGCATCTATAGCCGAGTGTTCCGAAACATTCTGGTCATTCAGGTGGTGCTGGCTGTCTGCCTGCTGCCACACCACATCTACAAAGCTGTGTTCATCAAGCTAGTCCGCCCGCCAGCCTGCGACAGACTTTCTCTGCTGGTGGAAGTGAAGAACTTCCTGCTGTGCCTCGCTGCTCTCAGGTGCAGCACAGACCCCCTCATGTACTTCTTCCTGGACAACACATTCCGGAGGCATTGCAAGAGCCTCCTGAAATGCAGCTCGGCCAAGCACAGCAGCCAGTCTTCAGGCTCGAGCAAGGATTGGGACGTCAATATCTCCCACACAAAACACACCAACGTGCCTGAGAAACAATTCGTCAGATGGGAAGTGGCTCCATAGGACGAGGCTTTATTTTTAACAGATGGACGCATTTCGCTTCCTCAATTTAAGGATACGCCAAGGGCAAACTACCGAAAATACTTATGTTAATGTTTCCTTAACATGTCTCTTTTCACTCTACCTTGCTTCAAATTGCATTTCACTGTCAAGACTGAAACATTAGATACTGTTAGACAAGTTCAGATCACTTGACATCTCAACAACTGATTAGAGGTCTACAGAACTGGCCTAGAGAGGCGAGAGTCTGTGGAAAAACTGACCAATTGTAATCCAAAGTGATTTGCATGTTTATCCATTCATTCAGGTTGGAGTTTCACTGGAGCAATCTGAGTGAAGGGCCTTGCTCAAGAGCTCAACACCACCCAATCCTGTCCCACCCATGATTAGAACCCACAACCACCCAAATACTACTAGTCTAGAACCCTTTTACCACTATAATAAAATACCTGTCAAATGTACATACTGGACAAGTAAAATACATTGAACTATTTTACCATTCTGAAATTAAATAAATAACTGAGGTAAGCTTTAGGTACCCGAGAAGTGTCTCTTAGATTTTAGATTAGATAGGTTTGTGACATTTGGCAGATTAAACTCTTCTAACTAACAAAGCAGAGAGGATGGTGACTGAGGTCTGAGGGGTCCCTGGAGCAGAAACAATTGTGAAGTGTACCTTAGTATACCTAGGCAAGCTGTGGGTTAATCATTGTCAAGGAGCAGGACAGACAATAAGATTACAGACAGAGGAGAGGAAGAAACAAGGAGATGCAGGGAAGAAGGAGAGGAGAGACAAGAGTCGGGAGCAGTTGGGACTCGAAACTTGCACCAGGCGAGAGCTCCTACTTCATGATCATCCAAACCAAACCTGACTGGAGCAAAGTATTTGAACCTTGTTAGAGAGAACGTGCTATTTGGTGTTTTTTGGGAACTTGGGTTTCCTGGGTAAAACATACATCAGTTAGAAACATCTTTCCTGCTAAGGGTGCATTTTTATGGATAGGGATATAGGCTCCCATTAATTTTGTGGAATTCGGGGTGCAGAGAGAGATTTAACTGCAGTTGCATTGTTAGAAGACAGCTCATCTCTTATGTGGCCACTGTAGACATTAAGAGTTTAGTGCTTAGCAGCAGTCTGGGGTTCTCTGGGTGACCAGAATGTTAGGCCTCTGAAACGCCTTGTTTGTAAATACTGTCCTTAGAGTAACTTGTGTGTTGTATGTTTTGTTAGTTGTAGTTTGTGTCTTGTTATTGTAAATAATAATGGTGCCTGACTTATTACTCCTCTCACCAAAGCTGTGCCAGAAAACAAAATTCACATGCCCCCAATTATACCAACCACTTGAGTATATTCTGGTGAAATCACTTACAAGTTGTGGGTTAAGAACATTTATTTTACTTATTGCCTAAACCTCTCGGGCAATTCCTGATTTTCAGCCCATTTGTAACCCCCCATTTGTAACAGTATATTTTTCCACTAAAAAATTGCTTTAAGCAGCCCTTATGACCACATACATTAATGACTGTGTGCAAACACATCACATTTCTTTGGTTCTTGATGATACAGATGGAAACCATTGGAAGCCACGTTTTTTTCTAGCTAGTTTTTCCAGCACGTGCATTAAGTGACTCTCAATTTAAAAAATATAGGAACATAGCATGCTTTATGATGGTAGGAGTGCATAGCACAGAACAGCTACAGGTATAATAATAATAATAATAATAATAATAATAATAATAATAATACACAATTATACATGTACACGCATAGAGGTAGCCCTCCAATAACACTGGCACAGTGAATATAAATTGGGGTTTTTACCAGTACTCAATTTCATCATAAACATTTTCACAGGAGAAAAAATAACTTATAAATACAACTCCTACACATTTCATTTTCAGTAAGAAATTACCCCACTTGGGTAAGTTAAATTGACAGTGTTGAACCTTTCCATTCCGAAGGAGAAAATGTATGGGGATAATTGGCTGGCAGGTGTCTCTTATTGGTCAGGTGTTTGTTATTGAGTAATTAGGCTTTTAAAAGAACTGTGGACATCCTTACAAGCAGACTTGCTTTGACAGTGTTTGGAATCTGTAATCAACCATTAAAATGAAAACCGAAGAGCAGCAGGCAATTTTAAAAGCAACAAAAGAAAAACTATCAAACCCACTGCACAGAAACTGGGCAAATGATCACACAGTTAAAAATTAATACTAAGGAAATAAGAAGCAACAGGTACAATTACCTATCCAAGGAAAAAAAACTACTGTAAAACAACAGTTAGTGAAATCAATAACAGTAGAAAAAGTAACATTAAATAGAAAGCTACACATAATGTATGATTATTCATTTAATTTATTCACTTCTTCATTAAGACATACACATATGTCCCATACTTAATCATAAAATGTGTATATTCAGATTGAAAAAATGAAGCTTGGCAGAGCATGTGCACACAACAGACTGCAGGGGTAAGGTATCAAAACCAGAGTTCTCAATCAGACAGGAAAGCAGCACCACGAAAAGAAAAAAAACAGACTAGAATTAAGAATAGAACAGGAGAGAATTATGGCCAGATTAAACCAAAAACAAATTTCTTTATTACGTGATGGAGAGGTTAAAATGTGGAGAAATAAAGGAACTACAGATACTCTTAAGATGTTCCCTTAAACATCCATTGAGCCAATAAGCAATACTTGGAAGACCCTCTCCTATCACTCATCTCTAAATTCACCTATGATTTAAGTAAACTTCAATAAAGATCGGTTTTAGCTATCGCAGTAGATCTTAAAAGAAATTCAGTGGGTGTGTAGCTGTTGTGGTCATATTGCACTGAGTGTTGTTTTGATTTAAATAGACAGACTGCCTAGAGCCCCCATTCTCCTGCATTCTGAGCTCTCTGCTGACAAACCATGTGGATTTCCAAACTTGCAAAGCTCTGCATTATGAAGATTGTGTGGACTATAATATTTCCTAATACACACAGCTCTGTAACTTTGAAGTTGGCTAGTGTTATGTCCTTAATCCTTTACTTTGTTTAAATTTACTGTTTGTTTTTGATGGTTTTCCGATAATTAGTGGAATTACTCTTTTGACCCTGTAGTTAAGTTTAGTTTAGTTTTGTATTCTTCACGTTTCTTTGGGAATTACTGATTCTTCTAGACACGTACCACTTACCCATTCTAAGCTCTCGTAGGGTATCTGTTTGCCAGTCTGTATACTGTATATAATTTATATGTATTCTAAAGTATACATTTTTATATTGTCTATACAATTTTATATATACTAAAATAAAATGTATGACTTTTGCTATTTATGTAAGACCCATGTAAGCCACTACAATTTGTATACATTACAGATGAATTTTATTTGAGCAATAAAACATAACAGCAAGAACCAAGTTTAAGGAGCAGTCCTAACTTCACCAGACAACTGGTAACAATGAGTAATCCACTCAATGTCTTTAACAACACATTACTCTAAACTATTCATACTGGCATGCTATATTTCATTTTCCCCCATTTAACCCATACAAAATAGCTACAGTCAAACCCTTACTTGTGAAATAGGCCAACATATCTTGAAACCAACTGGGCAGACCCAGCTGTGTTTGCGTAACTCGCACTGTGTCAATTTCAGATAAGAGTTTCAGTTTTACATTGCTGAGCCTAAGAATAATTATACTTGGCAAACGATTTTTAAACCTGCCACGACATGAAATGTCACAGGCCCTAACAGATCTTTATCTGCAACACCTGTTCCTCACATTGTGAAATTAATCCAAGCTGAACGTCAAATGTAGCCCCATGCAGATGTGGTAACAGACACCGGGCCAGTGAGCGGGGCGAATGAAATAAGATGGCAGTGCCCACGAGGCACGTGGTGAGCCCACATTGCGTGAGAACGGCCAGTGACTGGCACAGTTTTAGATGAAAGAAATGTGGTCAATTTTTGATTCACTTGTTTTTTGGTTTAAACTTCAATTAGATGCGATTCCAGAACAAAACACATACACCCTCTGCAGGAATATACAACTGACATTAGCACGGGGGAAAAAAAGGTTAACATATTTAGACAAGAAATACAAAACATGACAATCTTTCTTTTTAAACAAATCCACAAAACTACAGAATGGAACATTTTGCACTGGGAAAAAAAATGTAATGAAAATCCAACTTCTTCGAATAAAGCCTCTGTGGAAGTGTTTAACTGAAACAATTCATTCTTGCTAGGATTGGCACTTTTAAACTTTAAACACAGGTGTGCAAAAATCTTTAAAATGCTCCGAAGGGACAATAAATCGATATCTTCCACATTGAGAGTCTGGAACAAGCTACCCAGTCATATTATCGAGCATAATGAACTTCAATTCTTTAAAAAAATAAAACTATCAAAATAAAATATATGAATTAGATGGATAAATTAGGATCTTTTTGACTGTAAACAATCTTATGTCCTTAAGGTAACATAATAGGCATTTAAAATCAAGATCAAGATGTGGGAGTATTGAACAAGCAGCTCACCCATATTGTTGAATCCTGGCATCTTTCAAGAAACAGGTGGATACGATTGACTGGCTACTAATTTAGGCCTATTCTTGTCTCCAAGCTTGGTGCTTTAATGTGTATGCTGCAGCTTTTTCTCAACTGAAAAAATCACTTTACCTCTTCATGCAAGGACATAAGGTTTAGCATGTCACCAGTTTGCTCCCTCATCGGAGAGCTTATGGAGCAAGACCGAGCACAACTGCATTAGTTAGCAAATCAACGAAGGCACAGCCGATTCTAAAGCTTGAGAAAAAAACAACAACTACTGTTGTTCCTTATAAACTAGGCTCAAATCTTCTTTTGCTCAAGATCACAGTGGAACCTTTCAACCTTTTCCAACCTCCTCTGAACTCTCTCCAAGTCTGCCCACAAAACCCCATCATTCCTTGTTGCAGAAATGAAGCCCAAAGGCCCTAATACAACCCAGCCCTCTTCCTGTTACTCCTTCATATTCTCAAGCCCCCGCCAGCTCTTGGCAGGACAGCAGCTTTTACTCTCTCTCTCACCACACGTTCGCATAGCGCGTCAGGAATGAGCCGTATCTGTCCACTGGTGACTGAGCACGTCAGTGTCCTGATCCCTTACAAGCAGCAAACACTGCTTCGGAATTAGCACGCAGTGGGAAGCTGCTGGTATCCCTTATCCCTCACAAGCATTAAAGTCACACCACAGGTATTAGTGTCCCTCACCTATATTCTCACCCAGTACAGAAACAAGGTGAACATTAAGCCACAGGTCTCCAAGAAATCAAGGTTTCCTGAAAATTAAGCCGTAGTACACCACCTGTTATGATCTCAAACTACTGCTGACTAGCCATGGAAATCTGAGTGTTTCACTTTCTTAAAAAACAGATGCGCACAGCCTTGCTAAGAACCACTGTAACACTGGCTGCCAGGTCGAAGCCCTTCATGCCTTGTGAGCCAGTAGTTACAAAGTAGTGCGTGCTTTGAGTGACTACATGCTGACATGCATGGAGATGGAAAGTCTGTTTCTTTTGGAAGAAACCGCTTGATGAAGTCTATGAGGAATCATGGGAGTACATTACAGGTCAACGAGACTTCCACAGATTTCACTCATGTGGATGAAGGGCACATTACCTCTGAGCAAAATGCAGCCGCATGCAAACAGAATTTCAGCCAACAGAATTCAAGGTTTTGCTTTCTGAGGGGGCATTGTTTGTGCTTCCCGTAACTGTTTTATGTGGTATTGTCTTTACGAGATACAGAGCTCAGACGGCTAATTCTCACTGAATGTTCCGATATACACATCCGGTTTAAAAACCACTTTCCCCACGGGTGGCATGTAGAAACTACATGGCAAGACTTCAGCATAGAAACAGCTAACTACATTTCTAAAAATCTATTTTAAAACATATCACTATTATGCTCTTAAAGAGATAAAGCACGTGGCTTTGTTTATACCGATTCAATGTTTTCAGCATCATTTTGAT